ACCGTATTTTTGCAACATTCCCATTATGTTGCTAAAACGTATTTTTGCAACATTCCCATTATGTTGCTAAAACACATTGCAGACACATTGCCAATTACGTTCATGCAAGCTGACAAAATTACACGTTGTGGCAACGTTACCACAACGTTGCCCGAATACGTAAACGGCGAAATTGCAACGTTTTGGCAACGTTGCCACAACGTAATTTTGCCGGGCGGGAAGTTACGATGGCTATTACAAACACAACAGAGACTTGAAATTTTGAATACAGGTTCGAAATCACTCTTATCATCTAGTTCAGTTAAAATTAGAGGAGAGAGGTCAAGTTAAGTCTCCATTTCGGCACCTGTGATACTCTGTTTTAAGACCTCATGAGTCATGACACTTGTGATAAACTTTTTACAATTGATGTTTTTCAACAAGTTAAGAATTATAATTTTTGATGATTGAATTGACATTTTTAAACTAGAAAAGTTCCAAACCCCAAAGTCACTCTATAATCCAATTTTTCAACAATGGCGCTTGTGATACTTGTGCAGAAAGATGACAGAATGTGACTGGATCTGTGAGAAGGGAGCGTATCTTCCGGGACAAAAGTTTCCTTGACTTTTTGCAAACACTTGAACCATGTTTTTCTAAAACCTAAAAACTATGGTCTTGGAATTTTAAGACTAATATTTCCTTAAAAGCTAGAGAATTTAGGATCAGGATTGCGCCAAGATTTTCTACTTCTACACATTTGCAAAAATTTCAGGAAAATAAGGTCCCTTATCTCAGATTCAATGACAAATATTACTGTATTTTCTAATGACAGTTTTAATTTTACCATTCATGTCATTCTAAAAACTGGATCATAATGAAGTTTAGGAATCATCATGCAGGTAAGACTTAATATCAGTTGAGGTTGGTATCAAGTACAGGTTTCAGTGGTGGATTGCCATAGATTTTTGGCCAACTTGCAACTCATGAATAATAAATGGATTTGATGCAATGCATTTTTTTAAAGACTTGACAGCAATCATTTTGGACTGATTCAAACCTGTTGGCGTCCTTTTTGGCATTTTCGTAACTTTGCTACTTCTTTAAAGTTATTTTTGGGCGAGGAAAAATTTTCTTTCAATAAAATGAACGCTCCCCAATGGCTGTTCCATTCGAAAGTTTGTTTAACAAATTGTACGACTGTTCATCAGAACTTCGAAAATAGCAGCCACTAATATTTGAGAATCAATGGTGCTACTAGTAATGGTGAAATACTCATTAAATACTTTTTTTTAAATTGCAGATTAAATTATCTATTTGTTTATTTTATTTTCATGTGAGACTTTCACTGCATTTAAACTTAAACTAAATACGTGAGTCACAGTATTTTTTTCCTATATGGATGCCAACTTGTGGCTAACTGTGGAGAGGAAAAGTTTCTTCTGTCATTTGCAAGTTCCTTTGTGTCAAAAATTCTGCGTAACTGGGGCCTCAAGAGAGGCTTGAAAAATATCGAGATAGAAGTTCTTAACAAGAATTTGAGTACATAAGAGAAGTTAGCTTAGGGAATCATGAGGGATAAAAGACTGTCATAGTGTTGTGCCTAATTCTATGCTTATCATATTTGTCACTCTGGTCATTTTCCTTGTAATTCCCGATTTAAACCAGATTTAAAAATTTTCTTTGTCCTCGATCTATTCTGATTTGATACTGTTTCTTTTTAAAAACTACTATCTGACTCGAACCTTAGCCAACCTTTGAACCTTGAAACACAATCAGTTTTACTAGTCAAGGGAAAAAAGGCATTAAGAGAGAAGAAAAAAAGAAATCATGCATGAAGCGATAGCCCAAAAAGAAACTAGCAAATTTATTGATAATTAAGAGACACTTGAAAAGTTACATGCAATAATTTATCTTCAAAGGGCAAAAAGGCAGCAAGAATGCAAGAAAAACACTAGAAGAAAAGAACAAATTGTAAGTAGGGGAGGTCTTAAAGAAAATCAATTTTTGATAACCATAATATTTCAACTTTAAGTATGTTACAATAAGTATGCAAAGGAAAACGATAAATTCTTCAGGTAAAGGAGGAAGAGAATTTCAACAGAGTGTTTAAAAAACAAAACAATCTAAACTTGTCTTAAACAGCTTCCTCATTTGTGAAAGGCCACAAAGTTAATTGAATTTAAAGTGCTTTACAGAAATAAAGCTTATGAGACTATAATGCAAGATATACTAGATTAGATTTTACCTATGGAAAATCATATAGAATAAATAACATTTAATTTTCACGGCTCTTAATTAGACCAGCCTGAGACTGGCTCATCAGCCAGTCGAGTATTTTTTGCATCCAAAAACTAGCAACTTTAAATCTTTTGAAGAAGGCACAAGATCATGTTATTCAGTTTCAAGCTTTTCATTGTCTCAGTCAAATTATTTGCTATAAATCATAGATTATCCTCTTGCTTTCCCGGTTGTTTCATACAGTTGTGGTTACCAACTTTTATTTTCATTGACAGTGGGCTCCACAACAAATCGCCACATAATTGAGTGAGCACTTAATTAAACGATGTCTAGAATTGGCCTTTTGCTTTCTAACGGCCAGAGGTATAAATAAAACTGTCATTTTTGTAATTGAAAATTTGAGTTGGGCCGAAATGGATTTATTGCGTCACTGAATACGGATATCAATTTTGTGTATTCAGCCAGATAATCCGGCAATCCGAATAATAGCCGGATACCCGGCCCAACTCTCTGGAAAATTGACTGTAAGAAAACGAACCTTAGAAATGAAAAATGCGTGATTTGGGAAAACTCATTAAAACCTTTGATTTTGCTTTGCTCCAGTTTCTATTATTTTTTTACTTTTTTAAAATTTTGGAGTGGCTGAATGGCTTGGTTCAAAATTAACATTTCTTTAATAGTCGCTCCTCTGATGTGAGGGTCTGCCTCTATCTTCACGTAAGCCCTGGAAAACATGGAATTATGTGGGCGATGCAGCTCAACTCAAAAAGCAGTTACGCCCTCCCAGCAGAGACAAAATCAAAGCATTGAACCATCTGATTATTAATTATAGCTTTCCTTCCTTGGAAAAAATAAAAAATAAATGTTTGAAAAGACAAAAATTAATTAATCTTCTCTGATCAGTTTTGATCTACGAACTCTTGAAACCGATAAACAAAGAGAAGGCCTGAACGTTTTAAAAATCTATGAAAAACCCATAGAAAGCTTAAAAAAATGAAAGAAAAGAAAAAAAGTCATTATTAGTAATTTAAACATGCAAAGTTAATCTGCTTTTTTCCTTCCGTCATAGAGAAAATTGTATCTTCTTGACTGATGATTTAAAAAACAAAAAAATATTTTTTTGGTTTACTTAATCCATTGAAAAAACAATTTTAAAACTTAAATTGGACTTTTGAAAGAGAGCACTTGAAGAGAGCATTTCAAAAATTTGAGCAAACTAAGCATAATTAAAGTAGTCCATGACAATTTATGACGCTGTTATTTTATGTTTTCTGATGAAATGCATAATTAAAGATAAAAATAAAAAAAAGATGAAAAGAACGATCATGGTTGTTCTTAGAAAAAAAGGAAAAGACAACAACAAAAAACTCCTGAGACTGCATCAGTATTGAGCAAAATAATGGTAAGGTAAAAAAAAATCTGAATAAAAAACATAGTAGCATGAGTCTCTAGGATAAATATCTTTTTCTACTACTTAATTTTAAAGTTCTTCTCACTAAAATAAGTTCTTGCTGAGCAAAAGTAACAAAATGACTTGCAAAGGTAATGCATTAATCATGAGCAAAATGAGAAGAAAAAAGAAAGTATAAAATACTTCAAGAGACTGGAAAGTCTGATTATACAGCAAAATAAACGACTCGTCTTTATGAAAAATCTTTTCTGTGCTTTGAAACCCTGACGATTTCTTTTTCTGTACAATCAGGTTGATTTGTTTCCATCTAAAAGAAAGGAAACTCAAGGGACGTGTGGAAACACAAGAGCATTCTTCACACCACAATACAATTGTTAAACGCTAGAGCTAGAAATCATCGCAAGCTTTGGTTGAAATAAGATCACGAGAACTGAGCGACACATTGCTGTTCAACTTGTGCTCAGATACATACATTGGATGAAGCTCCACATGTTCTGGGCCTTTTCCATCGAACCCACCCATAAATTCAACTGAAAAGTTTCAAAATTTTGTTAAAATATTAGCATGAAACATGGGTCTGAAAGTTTGAGTAGATTTCAGTAAATTATAATGACGCCTTGTGTAGAAATTAATACATCCATTTAAACTCAAAAATAGAACAGTTCTTTTGGAGGAATTCAGCACAGAAATATAAAAAAATTGCAGGTACATTAAAAAAAAAAAAAATCGTAGACTTCTGTTACGCACAAAAAACCTCCTAATTAAGTTTACTGCGCAGATGATACAGATAAATGATGCATAATGATGATTAACTGGAAGGACAAAACAAAATATCATGCTGACAGAAAACAGTTAAAGGCATGGCCCTACATGCACATTTACGTTAAAAAAGAAAGAAGAAGAAAGTTACAGGTGATCTATAGTGGTATAATAGATACGCAGTTACATGACACAGCGAAAATTTCACTTAGAATCACCGACTTACCAAACCATGTGAGAATTAAATCCAGCAGTATAATCAACTGTGAGTGCAAAAGTGTGAGAAAAACAGAAAGAATGAGACAAAGAGGTGACAGGAAAAGAAGCAAAGTGAAAAAGATGACTATATTCGAATCATTGACATTGAATACTACACACGATGTGGTTGCAAAAATGCTGTAGAGGACAAAGAGGATGTTGAGCTTGAGAGAAAGATATTTTTTTATCGTCATGAATATGATGAGGTTTATCTGTTATTTTATGCAGGTTTGGTGATTAGAGTGGAAATGCTATTTTGATAATCATCATTCCTAACACGGCACAAAATGAGAATGAGGAACACAGCATGAATAAACAACAGCTAGACATGATCAATTGTAATAGGAAAACAACAGACTGTGAATGAAGCTAATGCGTTTTCAAACATGATCAAAAGCAGACTATCCGCTTGTGTACATTGATTGTTTGGTGAGATGCGGTGGTTACATATTTTTGTGAGTTCAGAGTAGAGAACTCTGTGCGAGTAAACAATTGTCACATGATTTTGAAAAAATGTTTTGAACGTTTAGGACTACTGATGAACCTAGGCATGAAGATGTACACAATTCAAGCGTGTCATGATGCATTATTTGTCTGTGTTTCATAGTGAAAATTTGCAAATTTCAGAATCTAATTTCTATTAATTAATGATATTATTTTCTGAAAACTTGTATTAAAATGAGAGAATCATAATGTGACATCATTGTGACAAAATGAGAATGAGATTCAGTGCAGTCAGTATTAAAATACCAGTGAACGCAACAATCCTTCATTTCAATTGATTTTAACAGCAATTTCTTCTTTTTCAGTTTTTCTAACTTGAGTTCTAAAATTTTTGTTAGAGGTTGTGTTCTATTGTTTTGAACCAATTGATACATTGAACCTGTATCAAATACAGTCCATCCTTCACTTTACCTTTGCGTCAAACACATTTTAAACACCAAGAGGGACAGAATTTCTTTCTTCAACAGACAAATAGATAATCCGTTTAATGTTCAACGATTAATGTTAATAGGTGACAAAAGTTGTTGTGTGCAAAGGAATAATAAATTTGGATTGGGAGGGTGGAATGTGGGGATGTAAGAGGAATGAGTATAACAACGCAGAATTGAGCTAAGATTTTAAAGGTATTGGAAATTATAAATCAACTGCAAAATTTGACAAAAAATTTAATCAGGATGTCGTGCTGACCTTTTTGCGAAAACTCAGCGCGTTCCTGACTATTGTGGAGGCCTCTTCGAAAATTGTAGAGACCTAGAACTATTTGCACCCCTGCCACACCTTTTCATTTGATGTTTGTATGATTTCTATTACTTTCTATGGACCTTTCAAAATCCGTGCATTTTAGGGTTATTTGTACTTTTCCCATACAGTAGACCCCGGGTATGAAATTTTCCATCTAAATCCAAAAACAATTTTTTTGAGACCTCAACTTTTCATTTCAAATCTGAAGAAAAAAAGCTCATAATTACACCATTTTGAAGCGGTGTGAGAAATTTTTGAAGATTCCCAGAACTAGAAGCCCCAGCATTCTCTCAGCCTGAAATTCTTACCTTAACTCAGATAATATACCTGGTAGTAAGAATATAAGTGCGCCAATACCATTGTTAAGTATTTAAGTAATTAGATTGCATGAAATATTGAAGCTGCTTTTGTATTTTAAGGTGGTAATTTTATATTTGATGAAAAAGAGGAATTATGGGACTTACAGCTGTCATCGTCATCCAGCATAACCCGCAACAGCGAAACGCTTATTAAAATGCCGATCATCTGCAAGAAAATGATATAGATGTTAAAGCTAGTTAAAACATCAGAGAGGGATACGATGAAAGAAATTACTACTTTAAGTCAGGAAATAATTTTTTGAACAATTTAAAGATTGCCAAAGACAGATTAAAAAAATACGTCTTGTTTTCATCAAAAAACTTACTACATCCTACAGAGAATGTGTTTGTTTGATTTGAACTTCAAGGAGTTATGAACATAAATTTTAAGAGATAGAGGGCTATGCATTTTAACCCGAGTAAAAGAGTGCTTATCTTATAACAATACTGATACTTAGAAATGAGTTCATAGGATAGGTGACACATAATTTCAGTTTTTTCAACTCCCTTGGTACAGCTGTGGGTTCCGATCCTTCAACATGTAAAAACAAATGGCGCAAAGCTTTCCTGGGCCCCCTTTCTTTCAAAGCGTAACATATTGTATGAACAGCCCCTAATTTATTCTATGCTTTTGTTCCCAATTTCTTCAGTTAGCACAATTTTTCACTTCATTGGAGTAACCATACACATGATAAAGTGCATTTCAAACAGAGACATCAAAATATACAACTGAGTCAAGTTAAGCTCAACTTAAGGCATGAATACTTTACTTTTCTTCTGCCAGAACTTGATTGAATCGTAGCTCTGTTCAGAGGTAGGTATGTATTCGCGTGTTGATACCTTGTGACAACTTTAAGATGAATTATTGGGCAGAAAACCAAAAATGAGCAAACTTTAACTTACCGCCAGAAAATTTTGAATTGATGCTTGGAGAGCTTCAACATATTGGTAATCTAGTACGCAACCAACGACTGAGTCTGGTCTTATAGGAATGAGAGGGTCATCAACGGTTGTCAGATTAGCATGAAATAGAGGTTTGCATCCTGGTCCATTGGATTCCCACCAGCTGACGCTACCAGTTCCCAAATTGAGGATATTCTGGTTCTAAAAACGAAAAAATACTTGTTGTTAGTTAAAATTCTAATAGAACATTAAGAGGATAAAAAATTGTTTAAAATGTTTTAAGCCAGTATATTTATTAGGGTAAGAAAAATTTGGGTTTATACCCAGTCTCAGTAAATTAAAAAACAAACCTACACCTCCCAAAACTGCTGTGAACAACAATGATAATGTTGATTTTCTCTTGGTATAGGCAAGTACTAAATATACGTGGGCCTTTTATCATTGTTAGAGTTATTTCATTACAGTAAGAGGAAGGCTTCAAACGTTAGGTATAGACATTTTTTTTCCTAGCAAAGTGGTGAAATTCTCCTGATCGATACCAATTTTCTTTGGCAAAAAACAGATGGAAAGAAAAAATTCCTCTGAGTAAGACATTAGGAATTGAATTTATACAGCAAAGAAAGAAAAACGAATAAAATAATATGAAAAATAAATCCTATGACACGCAAATTGAGTCATGCATCATGCCTCACTGACTTATAAATCTCAGAATTATCATGAATGATTAACTTTCGTTAAGTGCTAAATTTTTTTGCAAAAATTATAAATGAAAATACTCTAAAATACAGTCCGCAAAAATCAATCAAAACAAACTACCTACTTCGATTGTACATGGGTACATTTATATGCAGAGATACCTAGGTAATTTGAAAAAAAATATTACCTACTAAAAACATACAAAGTAAAATTTACATGCATCTTCATAGAAAAAAAAAAAAATCGTCAGCTGATTACAGCAGTAAATTATACGGTAATGAATGAAAAATCATTAACTCTGCATATCCTACTGCTCTATTCATAAGTTAAAAGGAAAAATAATAAAAAATGCACACACAAAGTGAACTAAAGCAGGCTGCCTTAAACCTTAACATAAGTTTTGATAAAGGAGAGTTCACAAATATATTAACTAAAATTTTATCAGCTCTTAAAAACTCTCATCAAGAGGGAATCTGAACAGAGCCTGATGCTGCCTCTTGATTCCTGGTAAAAGGGGTCTTCCTGAAACCTACTAAGGGCTAGGGTACTAAGAGAAGTGAGTAAAGAAGAGTAAGAGGGATGAGCGATATGTACCACACTGTAAATAAGTTTTGCAAACTTATTGACCTCAAGCAATGATAACTTGAAAAAGCCTTACTTGTAACATTATTGAAATTAATGATGAGTCGTTCCCAAACAAATCATTTGCCAGCATTAATCGGAGTAGTATTTCTCAAAAGAAACACTTGTGTTACCTACTGGCATAGCTAGCCATTTCTAAGTATTTTGACATCAAGAGACATTGGACCACTGGAGAGTACATGATGAAGGTAAAAAATGTATTTATTGCTAGCAAATTTTTCTGACGGAACAGAATATTCTCGGTCATTATTTTTGTTGCTAGATGGAAACAGTTTTATGCGCCAAATATGTCCATTCAAGTTTATCCGCAATAACTTCCTTGAAGGCAGCAAATACAAAAGAAGCAATAAAGGTATGATCTTGCTCGGGTTTACGCAATGGCTTTCGCTAAAATGTTATTCCTCACTCGCACATTAACTGCATGATCTTTGAGTCCATGAGTGCACAATGTTATTTTGTATTGTTCCTTAAAAAATACATGTGTGATGATAAAGTAAGAGCATTTCTTCTCTCACAAGAATATATTGACTGGAAGAGACAGTGACATTAAAGGGAATGACAAAAAGATAAGGGTGACTACTTACTCTATTTAAGCCACCAATATTCAAATAGAAACACACAACAAATATGTTCCAGCTAAACCAGAATACACTCCAAATAGTATACTGGAAGAAAAGGATAAAAGGTTAATACACACAAAATTTAGAGAAAAATTATTTAAGTTGGTTATTAATAAAAAAAAATGCCATATTTACTCCACGTTCTTTTTTTCTCACATATTAAATGCTGGTAAATTTCACACGCCAATTATGTAGGAAAATTAACCGTGGACCAGACTAAGAGAAAAATATTTTCTGATCACGAAAAAACAAGATCTAAAAGCAGAATTAAAAGAAATTTTTGACCAGTGGTTAAAAGAATAATTCCAATTTGATTAAAATAATTAAAGCCATGATGCAGACCGTCAAAACTGGTCAGAAAGGGCACAGTAGATGAATTTTTGGAGAAGTACCCTGTCGAGAATCAAGTCAGTAGGATTATGTTTAGAAGAAAAAAGAGAGGAAACTAGATTACGGTAAACTATTTTGCACAAAACTAAGTATCGCAATCAGCAACTAAAGCTTCTTTACCTTTCCTGATTAAGATTGTCTTAAACTTACTTGAAAATTGCAAATAAGAGAGAATACTTATGATTCTACATCAAGCTTAACAAGAAGCTTGAATACTTAGGACGATTTTCTGATGCTAGGAAAAGTCTTGTAAAATGATGAAAAGGAAGAACCTACTATAAAGGACAGAGTCAAGATATGGCTGATATAGGTGACAGATATGCGCACACATTGAGAGATAGGTAATCAAAGAATTTAACCAATAGGTGCTGAACTAATGGAGCTCAAAAGATTTGTAACACTCATTATATAATATGACTAACAAACTCAAAGGGAAAGAAATCACATACAAGGGGTCAATGATGGAAGATATGATGGAAAATTTACCAAGGGGTATTTTATGCATTGAAATTTTCAAACTTGTTATCTACTACTTATTTTTCTCACAAAATTAGCAGTTAGAAGCGTCAAGTTACACATTTCAATACTAAAATATAAGAATCGGAGAGACTCAATGAAAACATGTGCCGATGAAAAAAATAAAATTTTAAATATTGTTTTTGAAAGGAGGATGCAACCTCCCTTAAAATTTTCATAAATATGAATAGTTACAGTGTATGAGTCAATAGGGTATTTTAAAGTTGAATACTTAGATAATGATTTTTTTAACCAACTTGACAATTTTTGCTCCTCTGAAAGATTGACTTCTGTACACTGAATAGGGTCCACACCAGTTAAGTTTACTCATTTTACTCAGAGTGCAATGGAAGACCAGCTTTCCTCACATTAGTATTTAAGATAAATACAAGGATCAAGATGGTTGATCTTCTGCCATCCGCTTAAAGTGGTGAGTTCATTTGACGTAAACTCAAAAGTCCCTAATCTTAAGACCAGTCACAATAAAATGTAAGTAAAATATGATGTGAAACGTTTACTTAATGGTTGTGCACTTGCAGGGATTGTTTTTGAAATTTTGTTAGAGGTGATTAATAGTAAGATAGAGAAGAAGTTATAAAATGAAGATTTAAAAATCTAAAGTTTCCTTACCGAAGCAAGATACTTCACTCGGAACTGGCAAGCACCAAAAAATCCAAAAATTATGAACAAGATTTGGAAAAAATTAGCTAAAACAGGACCCCACATAAAACCAAGAAAGTCAAAAACTTGACGAACAGCCACGGTTATCTGTAAATCAAAATAAAACAAAATGAAGTAGTAGCAGTATAAATTCGATCATGAAAATACTAGTGATGAGCATTTGACACTACCTCAAGGGAATGAGTTCTAAACATGAAAGTAAAAGGGGTGAAGAAACTTATAGGTACTGATCTTTTCATAAGAAATCAACAGTTCAGCAGAAAAATAAGAAAATTGTTGTGGTTTTTTTTTTTAGATCTCAATATTTTGATCGCTAAAAGCTTTTTGGCATTATTTAGGTACTTTTACAAACTGTAATGACTTTCTTGAAAAAATGTCAAGAGTCATTCATCTCTGGAATGGAACATTTGGGCAATTAATAATGAAAAAAAAGGCCACAGATTCAAAGACTTTTTGCAGCGGATTTTTTTGAGTAGAACCCATATCATCAATCAAAGAAAATTTTTCATGGATAACTTTTCTCATGTTTTAAGAAATCCCCTATTCTTTGTAGGTAGGCAGGAATATTTTTTTTTCTGTGGATTCTTTCTCCACTGGCTGATGGAAACATTTGAATTTTCATAGATAGTTGGATGAAATTATCCTCTGGAATTAGTGAAAAGATGAATGAGAAGAAAGGTTGTCAATTCCTAGATTTATTAACACAGCTTTATATAAAACTCTCATTTCCAGTCTCAGAAAATGTTTTTGAAAAAGTCCTTAGAAAGTAATTTAGCACTTCTCAAAAATGGTCTGATGACTCTTCCCTCTACTGAACTTAAATCATGATAATCAAGATACTTGGGAAAGAATCAATGTTTCTCATTCTGAACCAGCCAGAGATGAAACCCCGCTATCATTTTCTCCCCTGCCGTGCTGACTATTATGGAGCAACTAAGAGAAGAGTCAGCCCGCGTAAGTTAAGCTGGACAGAAACATGCATTATCGTAAGTTCTATAGACTTTAAATCCAAGTCCTCATGTTTCCATTTCAGCCGTTACTGTAATCCTCAAGATGCAAGCATTTCTTACGATATCTGGACTTTCTTAAAATGCTGTTCTCTAGCTAGTTCCATACAGGTAGTTTAACTGCACAGAGGGTTGAATTCTTCAGTTAATTATTAAATATGAAATGTTGACACTTGCTCTGGCAACAAACTGTGATCTACAATGAATTAAAAGAAGATTTTCATACTGAACATGCACTTGGTGTATTCAATGATAATACATCACGGCGATGTAAGTCAGCAATCACATACTCTGGTTTGTGCGTGGTAGACTTCCTGTCATACTTTATTTTCCAAACGGAAAATTACTCATCAGCAATTCTTTAAATCTGTTGCGATTTACCTTCTCTGCACATAATAAAATTTTGCATTAACTTCAAGGAATTCATATCAACTTGTTCTCCTTTGAAAAAATGACATAGAGGTGGAGATTTACAGACACCGTAAACGAGATATGTAATAGCGGACTTACGCTGTCAGTTAGCTATCGTGCATGAGTCCTATTATATCCTGGTTGATACGAGTTTCTTACTCGCGATAAATGAATGGCAGTATGATAATAGAGTGATGCATGTGGTAATGTGCAAAAGTTTTGGATTAATTAAGAGCATTCAACTTACCATTTGTAGTACACATACTGAGAGGAAGAAATGCCGCTTGGTGTAGGAGCCCATGACCTATCTAACCACTTCAGTGATGCTTTACCACTTCCGCACCGTACAGTAGAGACCATTTAAACAGGGGGTGAGGAAGAATTTGGAGTTCTGGTTCTGCGGTGAAACAAAGCGTTTGACCGTTGCGGGTGTCCCGAATGATAACACACTTTCTCCCATCATGTCAATGGCATTCCATAAAAGAATTCAATACAAATGAGCAGGTAAAAACTTTAAACTGATTCAGTCATTATATTGGGAACAAATCACTTCTCGCATACGGACCTAGAATTCTAAAATAGAAACAAGCAGTGAGTTGAACTTGAGGAGCATTCATTGTCACACAAAAATAGAACAAATCTCTTGGGTCAGGAAGTTACCTAAGTATCGAAACCACAGAATATTTCATCCGGAAAAGCTTCAACAACCGTGAAACACTGAAAACAGAGTTCAAAGATCTGAGAATAATGATTATTAGGAGGAATAATTAATGCATAAAATTTAAAAGAATGGAATGCACCAACAAATCCGAACTTGTTTGGACTTGTTTACTTCTTCATGATGTTGTTGTTGTTGTTGATTTAGTGCAAAAACATCAATAAGTACAGAGAGTTGCCTAGCGGGCGATTGCGGGCGTTTCGATTTAAATTCGTGTTTTCATGATACGCCTTTACCGTCGAAGTTAAGGAAATGGCAAATTGCGAAATTGATTTTCTTCAGAATTCCGTTATCAATTTTATGCATGTCTTTAGATAAATTTGCGACAAGTTGAAAAAAATTGACAAGTGCAGTTAGTGCTATCTAGCGTGATTTGTATGAACTAAAAGCGTTATCACTTTCCCTGCCTCTGCTGATTTGGCAACGAAGCCAATATTTGTCTTTTGGTGTCCTTACTAATAACGTAAGTTTTTATCAATATTTATAAGTTATTTTTACCTTACAGCCCACATTTTTAACGAAAATCGAGACAATTTCATTAAAGTTCTCTGCTGTCCTTTAAATCTCTATCTGGATGCTCTTTTTCTAAAAACCTGAACAGAGTTTCTCAGAAGATAACCTCTTTTCTCGCTGACATTTCATGCAGCATTAAAAAGACAGAATTTTTTTATTTTCTATTAAATCAAAGGACTCTTTCAGTTTGTAACTCTCTGCTTTAAGAAGTAGCTGTCTGATCCTTTCCCATGTAGCCTCTTTGAAAACTCCTCGTGAGGATGTGCCGATTCAATTGCACATAGACTGCAACCCAAGCCACCACTGAAAATGAAGTCTTATTTTGGAAGTAAAACCTTAAACTTAGATCAGTAGAAAGTATGTTAGTTTGCCTTTTATCCATCATCTTAGAAATATACGTTCTGCTGGAAAGTAGCCTTATCTAAACATTCCCAGTGACAGGTTCCGTCTAATATGCCCTGTTACCTACCAACGTGTATCTCTCAGATGATATAAATAATATATCTGAATAAATAATAATATATCTGATGATCTCAGATGATATATTAATTTGTATTATGTTTTTTCTTTTATTAATAAAATGAATCTGAATCTGATCTGGATATATGTATGAAACTTACTTTTATGTAGAGTTCAACTCTTGGAGACTTTTGGATTATTAAGTGTATAGCTCAAACCAAAGTGTACAGAAAAGTCTAACTTGCCGAATAGCAGCACGCATGTAGGCAATTCTGTGTTTCTTGCAACTCTGTGTTGTGTTGCTTTCTATCTTGGTCAGTGTCTCCGTAAGAGAGAAGGGTAATGTTAGCTCAATTAGACTAACATTTATCATGATCCAGCACACTTCTCAGAGAAGAGTACTGACGCCAGGAGAAACGTTCACCCAGAGCCTTGTTAGACGCAGTTGTTTATTTTTAACTGTTGCACTCCATCATCGGCTCAGGGAAATTTTCTCAAGTACAGCTATTGGCATAGGTCATATAATTGCTTCGTTTTTTTTATTTTATTTTATGACTTTATGTTATTTTTGTGCAGGCTATATTTTCGAAATGTTGAGGCTTCCGTTCTCAAGGGGCTTGCCTTGTGTGCGGGTTGTATGGTCAGCAGCTGTGAGGGGAACTGCTAGCAATCCTGCTCCGGAGAAGATTGAGGTCTTCGTTGATGATAAAAGTGTGCTTGTTGACCCAGGAACTACAGTTCTTCAGGTAATTTTTTCTGTATCATCTGACAACATTGAGGAATGTATTTTCTACTGTACAAGAGAATGAATCGCAATTTTGCTATTTCAATATTAGTTACTTGCACATTATTTGTATACATTAGAACCAACACTTGCAATTTCTAGCTATTTTTCCTTACTTACTGTTAAGGAAAAAGGCTCTGAAATTTGCAGACAAATTTGTGGGACAGTTCCCCAAGGACGAAATGAAATGTCCTCTAAAATACTTTATCAGTGCAAACAAGATATGTTCCTTTGTGTAGAATATGACAAATTATTTTGATGATGAAGATACCTGTTAATTACACAAAATGATTTTGAATGGAAGCCAGTTTGTAATTTTTAAAGTGCTACATAGGTTAAAAAAATTAGAATGGAAGTGTGAAACCTCATAAGCAAGATTTCTCATTAAATCCTTGTAAGAGCCCTGCAGTAACCTGAATTTTCTGTAGAAGGTCACAGAGTTTCTCAATCTTAATATGACGTGTAATCCTGGATATCATATTTTTATATTTTATGGGGTCCTGATCAAACACATCATTGGTATATCCAAAATATCATTATTTAGGATATTTTGTGAAAATTTCACATAGAAATTTTGAAAATTATCGTGAGTAAGTAAGTAAGTAAAACGGTAAGGAGAAAACATTTGAATCACTGCAAACAAGGTATTAGCCTTCATATTTTCACCCTGAATATATTTTACTCTCATTTCAACTTCACAGAGGCTCTCTTTTTTCAATTCATATCTTTATTATGTATTGATAATTTTACAATATTTTCTCCAATTTCAGGCAGCTGCAATGGTAGGTGTTGAAATCCCTAGATTCTGCTACCATGAACGTCTTTCTGTTGCGGGAAACTGCCGAATGTGCTTAGTTGAAGTGGAAAAGTCACCCAAGGTGAGTAACTACTTTTATGTTTGACAAATGAAAGATTTCTTTTTTATATTTCATCAATTTAATTAATCTGTTTTCATTCCGAAAATATAAAGAAATGAGAGACCTTAACTTTTGGATGACCCTCGTACTTATGCAAAGGCGTATTTCATTTGGCTTTGTTTAGTTTTACCCTTACGTACCTACATATTTTATTTTGCTGTTTAAAAAAGAAAAAAAAAATCAGCGATTTTTAAAAAAAATTTAAATCGTAGCAATTAAACAAACAAAAAATTAGTGAATATTTGGAGTCGTCAAATAATTTTGCATTGGTTCTATTTTGCAGCCTGTTGCTGCGTGTGCTATGCCAGTAATGAAAGGATGGCGCATCAAGACAAATTCTGAAATGACACGAAGAGCAAGAGAAGGCGTCATGGAATTCCTGTTGGTGAACCATCCACTTGATTGTCCAATCTGTGATCAAGGTGGAGAATGTGATTTACAGGACCAGAGTATGGCCTTCGGCAGTGATCGCTCTCGTTTCACTGATATTCATCATTCAGGAAAGAGGTAATGGGGAAAAGTTAAAATTTTTCACATGAAAAGAAGGTAATTGTCGTAAAATCCACTGGAGTGTGTGTTAGCTTGAAAAATTTGTATTTGAGAAGAAGATAGCCAAAATTTTGTGGCCAAGGTTTAAGAAAAGATTTCTTCGCATACCATTTTTATATAATTTCAGCCATTTCTGTTGGGTACCTTTAAATACATTATACAGATATTAAATGCTCACTTTTTCTACTTGTTTTTTTCATCTGAAACAAGGATTCAACGGTATATTTTTTATTTGGCTATTGCAACAATTAATAGTAAATTGCTCTCTTTGTCTGTTATCATGGCACAAGATGCTAGGAATAGTATCTGCCATCGGTGGGTATTTAATGAATCAATATTAAAGTATTTAACAGCAATGGTTAATGCCTAGAACTAATAGAAAAATATGAATTTTTCAGAGCTGTAGAAGACAAAGATATTGGACCTTTGGTGAAGACAATCATGACTCGCTGCATTCACTGCACCAGATGTATTCGTTTTGCATCTGAAGTCGCAGGGGTGGATGACCTAGGAACAACTGGCCGTGGTTCCGATATGCAAGTGAGTATAACGATCTCATCCTCAATTCTACCCTCTGCATTATTTAGTCTTCGTCTTGAGCTTGATTTTTTGGCCCTAAAAGTCAATTTTTCAAGGGCATTTGTTTTTAATTTTTTTTTTTTTTTTTTTTTTTTGAAGTCAATTTTATTTTTATATTTAAAAGAAGGAAAAAATTGGCAGCTTTTGATTTCATCCAGATCTTTTCACCTGTAATGGGAGCACCTGCATGCCACAAGTACTTGAGTACTTTTTCCTGCCTAAAATTGTGTGCCAAACACGTTAGTGCCAATGGTTTTTACTGAAAGGAACTCCCAAGCTCAAAAAAAGCTCTGAAAGTTGAGACTGCAATGGAGGGAATTGCCTGCAGCCTGATTGTTGAAATTGTTTGTTTGTCGGGACGACATAGATGACATAGGTTAAAAGGCGAAGCGTGATTGGTCGGTTATGTCTTATCGCTGCTTTGTCGTGTGTATGTTGGGTTGACCTCTCGACAAGCTAACGGCACCTTTTGAGTTTCCGACAGTATGTCGATCATTCCACCTGACAAAGGCACGATAAAGCATCGATAAGACATAGCCGACCAATCACGATTCGCCGTTTAACCTATGTCATCTATGTCGTCCCGACAAACTAAAAATTTCAACAATCAGGCTGCTGTGTTATGTTGAGAGGCCACCTTTATATCTAGTCAAACTCTCGATGTGCGAAAAGGCACAAATACATTAGTAGGGTTGTTATGCCTGCAGCCGTAGAGTTCTTGCACAAAGCTACAACGCTGTCAATGAATTTGCTCCCTATCTACACTTGGAGAGTTTGACTGGATGTAGATGTGAACTATTTCAACCAACGTACGAACCGAAAGAGTCGAAAACAAACGAAACTAACGGAAAAAAACCGAGGTAACAAACTGTGAGCTAATTAAATGAGAAAACAGAGAAGAATCGGAAAATTAAAAAACTCAAACTCACAAAATAAATTAAAAAATTATTTTGTGACAAACAAAATGAAAAATCAAAAATGACAAACAAAAATTATTTTGTGAGTTTGAGTTTTTTAATTTTCCGATTCTTCTCTGTTTTCTTATTTCAACCAATCTCAATCTTCAGAGCTTTTTCTGAGCTTCAGAACTAATTTCAAAGGAGACCGGAGGTATCATGATTTATTATAATATGATTAAAATACGTTGTTATGCTTGAATTTTGCCCCTGGAAAGTGACTCAGTCTCCAAAAAATGTCTGAAATAATTTATGCAGACTTTTTGAAAGCCAAAGTAAGGAATCTGCCGAACATGAATGCTGATATTTTAACAGAATTTTCAACATAATTTCGAGTTATCACAACAATACATTTGACCTCACATCAAACATGATGTCATCATTCAAATTGTAGCAGTTTGGTGGTTAGCAGGGAGATACCACCGTCAACGTCTCCTCCTGTGATCTATTTGTTCGTCTGTATAAGCGGTTCTGTTCTAACATTTTTTGGAGGCCCCGGCTACATTGAATTTTATTTCCTTGCTGAAACATTTTTTTTTCTTTTTCTTTTTTTTTCTTTCTAAGTTCTAACCTGCTAATTGTTTTCTTTGCATTGAAACATCAAGGGAACAACCACTAACAGGCGAAACTCTTCTGGGTTCAATCCACGTTTTACATTTTAATTCATGAAGTTGAAATTTTTGTTAGCAACATTCAAAAAAATCATTTGATTTATTCACAGGTTGGAACTTACATTGAGAAAATGTTCCTGTCAGAACTAAGCGGTAACATCATTGATTTGTGTCCTGTCGGTGCTTTGACTTCAAAGCCCTACTCATTCACTGCTCGGCCATGGGAAACACGCAAAACTGAAAGTATTGATGTGTTGGATGCTGTTGGAAGTAACATTATTGTTTCTACAAGGACTGGAGAAGTCTTGAGAATTCTTCCTCGTCTCAATGAGGTAATTCTTTGCTCATTAATTTTTGCTTTGCATGATGACTTGTTTAAATTAACTCATCTTTTACCCAAACTTTAAACTTTAATTCAACTTTTGTCTATGTTTTTTAAACTGAACAGCGTTGTTTTTCTTTTCTTTTCTTTTCTTCCGAATGTCCCAGAAATTGTAAGTTATGAAGACTCCTTATTCCTATTTATGTTCAATACATTTTCTGCCACATTGTTTTGGTGCTTTCTCCCTACTATGAAGTACAGTAGATATCGGTTAATACGACATTCAAGGGGTCACGGGATTTCGTCGTATTAGCCGATATGTCGTATTAACCGTTGTCGTATTAACTTATGGAGTTTCGCCGGGGAAAACGAAATCCGTCGTATTAGCCGATATGTCGTATTAACCGATATCTACTGTACATGCTTTTAAATTTCAAATACTGCCAGTAAAAAAAAATAAGAAACGGAGATAGAGCTTCCTAGTGGATTGAACTTTAGAAAAACGGCACACTTGCACTGCATAGCTTTGTCGATAAAAAGAAATTGGTCACGTGAACATTGTTTATTTCACTTACCACCAAACCTGAAAAGCTAGTCAAATTAGCTGGTTTACAGTGAACGTGTTGAAAAGATTTCTAATACTGCTGTTAGATTTTTTTTCTATCAGTGCCTATGCACTTGTCTTAATTGCAATGTTTCATTTAGCCATCTGATTACGGTGCACTCTTCTCTCCGAAGATATCTTTTTATCAAGATTATTTCAAATAATCCGAAGGGTTCAATCCATGTTCAGATTTCTCTACTTACTCCCCATCTTTTTTGAAATCTATGTGTAACTTTTGCTGCTAACTCTCTTAATTTTGTACTGAACAATAAAATATTTTCCAGGACATCAATGAAGAATGGCTAGCTGATAAGGCACGATTTGCCTATGATGGACTGAAACGTCAAAGGCTGATGACACCCATGATGCGTAACAAAGATGGTGAACTCGTTGTTGTAGATTGGGAGGATGCTTTGATTGCCACAGCCTCAGCGCTCAGCCATGCTCAACCAGATGAGGTACATTCTGATGAATAGTTTTAAATAATTATTTAATTTTTAAGCGTAGATTTTTTACAAACTTCTGATCAATTGGATTGCATTTTGCGAAAAGGAACCAAGAGCATTGCAATGTTGCTGAGATTGTACAACTTCTTTTGTCTTAGAAGGAAAATCTGTTCATCTATCAACATTCTCCATTTTACACGCTAATAACTGTAAATTTAAGACAAAATTACCATGTAAATTTCAGATTTTTGTATGATTACAGTAGTTTTATTGCTACGAGTGAAGTTGCACAATCTTAGCAACATGGCAATGTTCCTGGTTCCTTTTTGCTAAATGCAATCCAATTGGAGCTGCATAAAAATGCAACAATGTAATTGAAGCACTTATTTAAACAAAATGCAGTCAGATTTTTTCTCAAAATTGAGTTTTTGACAGAAAGTGGTACAAATATTTACATGAAAGATTAGAGCATTCTTGAAGAGGTTTCATCCTTTTCTTTCCCAACTGTCGAGATTACCATCTTATTGCAAGAATGAAAAAATGAAATCAACTGATTGGATTGGAAATTTTATGAACTAAGTAGCATCTACAACAGCTAAGAAACAAAATATTTCAGCCAGTCATGATCTCTTTGTCACTTAAATGAATTGAACTTATCTCATGAGGGTGGCTTTGTTTTAAACACACTGCCCACCAAAAAAGATTTGAGTGTAATCAAGAATTTCAGTCTACAGCACGTAAAGTGGTGGCTGAGGGGCTGAGTTAGGTGAGCTGTCCAATCTTACATCTAAGGGTTAATATGCCTCAGCAACCCCGGGCTCTTTGAATGTGCCAATATATCTGCGTTTCAACCCTCAAACAATAGGTTGAGCCGCTCACGTGACTCCACCCCTCAGTTGCCTCATTATAGATTCATTGCAGATATCAATTCTCAAACCTTTTGAATATCCCAAGTCAGTCTTTTATTTTACACATTTTCACTCTTTAATGCATTATTCCCTCCAAGGAAGAGGATTTTAACGGGTACGCTAACTAATTTCTCATTTTGTATGTTTGACAGATTGCTGGTATTGCCGGTGGCTTGGTTGATGCAGAGGCTTTGGTAGCCTTGAAAGATTTGTTGAATCGACTAGGCTCCGAAAATTTAGTCACTGAAACTATTTTCCCAATGGAGGGATCTGGGACCGATTTCAGAACTAATTATTTGGCCAATTCAACCATTGCAGGTAAGAATTGCATTAAAAAATAGTATAATTTTTTTTATTTTTGATGGGTTTGTTGAACACATGCATACTTCCCGCCAATTGCGTAGGCTTCATATCGGTACTCCAGAGCCAAACGGTACCTAACTCCATTTTAGTCTGTTCGAGATATCAAGGGAAAACCGTGTGTCAGCCCCATTGATTCCAATGTAAATAACAATTTTTAAAACTCTGTAGCTGATAACCTGCTTTAAATAGGACTACCAAATTTTCCAAACACACGGAACGCACAGATCAAAATCATTACAATCAGCTCTCTTTATGGTATAATTGCAACGTCAGCAGAGTCCCTGCCACTTGGTTTACGCACCTTTAGACTGCGATAAAAGATCCACCATCTTGATTTGTGCATTCACTTTCCATGCAAAAATGACATCAGACTATGTTCCATTACAGTCTTCAAAGTAGGTAAATAACTTATTTGCTGTAGACTCCATCACATTTTTTCCCCCTCGCACCCGTTTCAAATACTGTTTTTTTAAAAAAAAATTAATCCTATTTCTTTTCCAGGCATTGAAGAAGCTGATTTGGTGTTATTGATCGGAACAAATCCTCGCTTCGAAGCGCCCTTGTACAATTCGAGGATTCGCAAGTCATACCTTCATAATGAACAGAATGTAGCTCTCCTAGGACCAAAAATTAATTTAACTTATGATTATGAGGTATCTGCAATTTTATCATTTTTGGATGAAAATCCTCCTTTAATTCTTCCATTAAAGAGAATAAAGCAGTGAAACGGATCAGTCAAGCAGACACAAGTTGGTTGGTCTTATGATCAACCCAAGTTCGTCTTTTTTCTCACTGTAGAATGAAAATCTTGCACATAATATAATTTCCCTCTTGGAGTTAATCAACTGAAGTTGCGCCAAAGAGCTTAACTCCATAATTGAAATCATATTCCTTACGAGATTTTCCGCCTGTACAGGGAAAAGTAACGTTACCTTGGGCTGATCATACATTCAACCAACTTAAGTCTAGTTTTTTTCATTGCAATTATTGAGATTGAATTCTGAATGCTCCCATGTTATCTGCATTTAAGCATAACTCTCGCCTAGTAAATGCTCTTTCAGAACGGAATAATTAGACTTTCTAGTTTGCGCGAGTCCTGTTGTGTACAAATTTTTTCCTCATAAAAACTCTACAAGTGCTAAATTGCCTCAGTTAATACTGAAAGTCCTTGAAAACTGCATACCTGATGGACATTGTAATGCCCCCAAAAAACTTAAGTCCACAAGATGAATTACCATACATGTTTTTCCTAAACATTTGTACTTTTAATGCTAAAAACACAAAATATCTGTGGAACCCTTTCAATTCAAATTGCTACCAATTGAGAAATCCTAACAAGTATATGTATGGGTCCATTCAAGAGGTTAATAGCTTCAGTCTCAAGTTCCCAAGTAACTCAAGTTTCTTTAACCTGTTCAGGAGTAACGTAAATTTCCTTGAGCTTTATCAGAAAGTATCATTCTCAGTAGAGAATCTGTCACAATATCAGACTCTTTATCAATCTTGTATAACGATGTAATGACAGTATCAATCTTATCCTAATGTTTGGTTACTTTCCAGAGTGGCTGTTACTAATGTAGGGCAGCTCATAATAAATTAGTAGAATTAATGGTCTCTATTTCTAACCGCAGCCTCATTTTTGAGTAAAAAGCTGATGAAATTTTGGCAAAATTCAACTATACTTACACTCACATTGCTTCATTTGCTTTGTTCAGGTTGAACAACCCCCTGTTTTCTTACAATTTTCTCATATTCTAATAGTTTCCTCCTAAATTTCTATGTCTCTAATTCTTGTTTTCCAAATGTCTTACAGCACCTAGGTGATAGTGCTAGTGATCTGAAAAAACTGGTTGACGGGTCGCATCCATTCAGTGCTAAATTGAAAGCAGCAAAGCGACCACTCATCGTTCTAGGCTCACAGCAACTAGCTCGATCAGATGGAGCTGCCATTCTATCTCATGTCCAGCAATTAGCGAAGAAACTCTCTTCCAGTGCGGTATGTTTAAACATTACCTATACTTCAATATCCTTTCTTCTTTCAATAGAAGATTGGTGATGAATGGATCAGTTGCACCTGTCACAAGATAATTTTTTGATGATTTTAGATCGGTAAAAAAGAATACAATCTGTCCAAATGCCTCGTTTCTACATCCTATATTAACAGAGATATTGGCCTTTAAAATACACAATGTATGAGGTCAGCTACTGCGGTGCTGGGCAACACAGTTTTTCCACCCTGGGTTATCAATGTTTTAAATTGAGCAATCAGTGCAAATGTATGCATCACTAATTTTGGTGAATCAGAGAAGAAAGAAACCATGGTATGCACCCGAGCGGCGTTTGACTTTATACATTCCATTTTTTGAAGGGCGATATCTCCATAAATATTAGACATAGAAATTTGACATTAAGACACACCTTATCATTCTTTGCCAATTTATTCCTGAGTTTTAACCATCTAAATGCAATTCTATGGCTACATAGTGCAACTGATCCATGAATACTTCTGTTTTCACAATTTTTCAACTTTCCTTCCGTTTTGTAAAGAATGTGTGTTGTTGGAACTGGAATGGAGATAAGGTAATATACAACTCTGGGCAACAAATGTAAACATTTAAAGATTAAGTATAACTTATAATCTTCAGAGAGGCTCCACCTATGCGACTCATAGAAAGCTCCAATTACCTCCAAAGAAAGTATTGGAATATGTTTCCGTATCTTTTTCGAGCCGTGTACCATTGTCTGTTTTGACTGCACCAGCTAAATAGATCAGTGATTTTGTCTAGCTAGTGAGATCTTACTCCAGAGGTCTCTTTCAAAATTTTAAATTCATCAATTTCTGCTCGGTTTGATCACTGAATTCTAAAAAAATGCAGGGAACAATCCTTCAAATTCATGAGATACCTCTAAAGAAAATACTTAGTAGTAAAGAGATGGGCCGTCAGTTCGCGAGATCTGAAATTACTCTTGGTGGTAAAAGTATGCATGTGAGCCTCATCTGCTGAACTTAATCCTTTATATCGTTAGAATGGAAAGAAATTATGTCCAAAACTGACATCATTCTTGCAGTTTTTTGTATTTTTTGTATTTTACGGACATCGCAAAATGGATGCTTGGACTCATTTATCACTAACCGGCAAATAACCAGAGCTATAACTCTGTAAAATTGGAAAGAATACAAGATGAACTAACACATTGTGTCTGGCGTACATACCTTTATTTCCGCGCAATGTATTTATTTAATCAACTTTACTTTTTAAATGCACCCTATTAACACATATTATGAAACAACCGACCAAAATTAGAACTATTCAGCTTCTTCCATTGCACCGCACACCATCAAATGTCCGAGAGTTTCTGACAGCGTCTTAACAGCATTGCCTGTGTCTTTATCTGGAATTTTGTCGTGGAACAGATTAAGTAAGTAGCATGCAGCACTAGCGAGTCCGTAATAATTTTCGTTCATGGTACAAACCCCGCCGATGAAAATAATAAGACACCCTGCTTGAATTTTAATCACGTCAGAGTTTTCATTATTCGTGAAGTAGAAGTAAAAAAAAACTAATGGAAGGGCTAGATTTCCCATTGCTAATGTTTCATCAAAATCATAACGGATCATTAACTCAGATGCCAGAAAGGGTAGGATGACGGATGGGCTGCTTTTATCCATGAAGTGTTGGAGTTTCTGTATGTTTGGATCGCTCATGAATTCGCAGAGAATAGTTAGCGCAGCTGTAAGGGTGGAGTACACCCAACCAACAAGGAATAATGGTGTGCCATCATCCTTATCCAATTGTGATTTCAGGCAGTACAAAGAAGTGCCAGCCAACATCATATTTACCACTGAAGTTTTGGTATTCATTGTTGCAATTTTGTTATTACTATTAGACTCATTCGACTCATGATTTGCCATGATTAAAATTTATTATTTTTTCAAATTTATGAAGACACAAGATACCATCTAGGCTAATTCACTAATGTAAAACAGCTGATGAGAAAAGTACATGGCAAGTTGATTGTCAATGTTGCCAAATTTATCATTCCATACTTGCAAGTCTTGACTGGATAACAGCTGTTTTTTTTTGTCCAATAGTATAGATGCACATTATGAGCTGTATCATGGAACCATTTTTGTAGGTTGAATTGTAAGGCCCGTTTCTGTGTATCTGGCAAGATTCTGATTAATAATTGATGAATTTGGAAAATCAGACCGAAATTATGAAAAAAAAAATGTCCTTTTATTATGACCAACAAGCGTCTGCTGGTGGTGGTGATACGTTCGAGAGAAAAATCATCCCTTCCACTGAATTTTTGCTGGGACTTAAAAATTGTGGTTATTGTAATCAATATGTTATTACAAGCAGTTATATTCTCTGTGTAATATTCTAAAGTCAAGCTTTTTAAGTTGAAATTAGAACTTAAGAAGCTCATATCTGACGGTATGTTAACAAATGAGTGAGACTTTTTTTTCTGGCTTATCGCATGCATAGACATTGGAGAAAATTTCGCCGCGAAATTTTTAAAATGTGCTTAGATTTCTGAAAACCAGACAACAGGACCAATCTTAACCCCCTGATAACGAAAATTTAGAGCGGAACAGCGCGAAATCGGCCATTTTCCGGATTTATCGCGTAATCGTGCGGAATCCGCGAAATCATGCGTACATTTTCATGAAATTTGCGTATGTATGCGTGTAAGACGAAATCTGCCGCACTTTTTTTCAAAATAAGAAATTACGGAGTTGTTTCTGAGCATTGGTCGTCATTGGCTACTAGCTATCAACGTTCGCCAATGGCATCAAAATACTGATAAAAGAAATGGTGGCAACTGGGACATAAACATAACTTCAAATAATTTTAACATGTGATCGTGTGAAAGCTTTATTTTATGCTGCCAAATGCAAAAAGCGCTACAAAAATAACGGCGAAATCAGCAAAAATAACAGCGGAATTCAGGAAAAATAATCGCGGAAAAATAAAAGTAAAATTTTCCAATGTCTACTCATGCATTATTTTTCATTTGTTTCTCTTCTATTTTTCTTGCATTTACCATTTGAAAGTGAAATTTATGTTTACAGGAACCTGACTGGAAAATTTTGAACGTGCTTCATTCAAATGCATCCCAAGTTGCAGCATTAGATTTAGGTTACAAAGCAGGAACTGCTGAAATCAGGCAAAAACCACTCAAAGTTGTGTATCTCCTAGGAGCTGATGAAGGCACCATATCGCCAAACGATCTTGCCTCCGGCGGTGTTGTAATTTATCAAGGTATTTTATCCATATTAAATAGATCTATACATGCCAAAAGGCACTAAGTTGCACGCAAACTCTATGCTCATGGTTCCATGAAATTTTCAGACATCACAGATTATATCGTGAAAAAATTTTAAAAAGAAGTTTAATTAAATCAAATAATTCAAAAATGAAACATTTATCTGATAAATACAAGAAAAGAAAAGAAAAGAAATATTTACTAGTTTCCTTAAAAAGTTGTTTTTCATTGAAGCAAATTTGGTAACGTCTGGAGGTTTACATGGCGATCTCTCTTAGCATGGCAGATCTTATGTAGTTTCTTCACTTAGCTCCACATCTGAGTTTCAATATTTTTAATAAATAATATTTTGAAGACATCATTGATTTTTTCTTCTTTTTTTTTCTTTTTTTTCCATCTACACTGAGAAAAAATTAGGAAATAAACTTTTGCAATCAAAAAAAGATGGACACCAATATAATAGGTCAATCTGATTGAGAGAGTATGTTGAGCATTGCTACATTTATGCTCTCTTATTAAATAGCTAACATTACCACTTACTGTGTTTCATTACTATTACTCCAGGACATCATGGTGATGTTGGAGCTAGTATGGCTGATATTGTCCTGCCTGGCGCAGCTTACACCGAAAAACAAGGAACATACGTCAACACTGAAGGGCGGGCACAACAAACTCTAGTCGCTGTTACTCCTCCAGGTCTTGCCCGAGAGGACTGGAAAATCATCAGAGCTCTGTCAGAGGTTTGTACTCAGTTTTTTATTTGCTCTATATTAATGAAAAAAGTTCAGAGTAATTACTGCCTTAAAATTCCTTAAATTTGAGGATTCATATCGACGGTGAAACTACCAGACCACGTATCTCGTTTGCGGTGTTTAAAAATCTCCACTCACATTTTATTTTTTTGAAAGAGATCAAATCGAAATAATTCCTTACAATTTTCACAGATTTTTCTCCGCACAAAGAGGAAAAATCATGGAAGTTTTCACGAACTGACGTTGAGTAGTTTTCTATTTAAAAAATAAAGTATGACAGGAAGTCTGCGACGTCGCAAACCGAGATACCTGGTTTGGTAGTTTCACCGTCGATATGTAATTGGAGGTCAAGCATGTATGTTTCCAATGAATATTTGTATTCGAAATGAGGAGTCAGAATCTGAACGTTCAATAATAATTTAATGAACGGTGATTGGCAATCAAATCTGAGGCACTCAAATATCTGTCACCAGAACATCTTAGCTACCTATCTATTCCAATAACTTATCATGTGACGCAATTTCAGAATCACCAAACTCAGCATTACCGAAGATGGCAAAAATGCCATGTTTTAAAATCTGTAGATCAAGGTCAGTATCTTTTAGAAAAATTTTGATATTGGATGATTCAAGTCGAGAATTTTCAAAATCGTTCTATCCCTAACACAGAGAATCTGATAATTTTAGGTTTATCAGGTAGCATAAAAGTAAGAGGCACCTTGTGATATGAGACAGTGAGAGAGAAACGCCAGTTTGTGAGAAACTGGACTTCAGGCTGTTTAAAAATATGAAGGGCTCTTTAGGTAGCATTGAAGACTCATTAATTTTTCTAAAGTATACTAAAATTAGAATGCCAAAAAGTTGCTGAATCAATTGAATTATATTTTTAATTCTAATTGTGCTGTAAAATCATTGCCTCAATCCTATATATCAGCAAAATTTATCAGTGAGAACGTTTGAGGAATTAAAAAACACATCTTTTACCCAGCAACCAACAAAATTGGTTAAACATTTAAGTTTAATTGATGACTGTAGCCTCATTTCAATTTATTTTTGCATGAATCAATGTCATTCATTAACTTTACAAAGCTCTCAAAAATGTAATTTGATGATTTATTATAAATATGGTTATTTTTTTTTATCAATACTTTAGTTGGCTGGTTACAAACTTCCGTATGATACTCTCTTTGAAATTCGGGATCGTCTTGATGATATTGCCCCTCATCTGACAAGACATGGTGAAGTTGAAGAAGCTAGTTTTCTGGATCAGTCAGTTGAACTTTCAAAGGTATGATTTTATTCCATCCAATACAAATGTACAATTCAACTTATTTCCAGGATCACATCTCTATTGGCAGATGGAATCCACAAGGTATACAACTGTATGACTGTAAATGACAACAATGTCCGAAAGAAGAGAATGAAAGCTGGGGGATGAAAACTCTTTACTCAGGAGGAAAACTTTTTTTTTGTTATTTTCAAAATATTGACCCCACAGACTCAGACAAAAACTTAGAATCTAGAAGTTACTGGCAGTAAAAAATAACATAACATTATATGTATTTTCTGTCAGGTTCTTAAAACTTGAGAAAACATATGAAAGTAAAATCATCGATTTTTACCTCAAGAGCCTCTCCTTTACAGTGAAGTTGGATATATTTGTCAAGTAAAAAGTTGGCACCAACTTACCAAGACAAGAAGCAAAGCTATTTTGAAATTCGGTTCCAGATTTTAAAATTTTACGGCAGTGTTCCTTTCTACCAAGGGAGGACATTTTACCAAATTTTTTTCTGCTTTCCCAAGAAAACACAAAATTATTGCCTAATGCCAATGTTGTACTCTCCTATTAGCAGTGATTGCTGTGATGTTCGTTCTTGTTAGTATCTTTAACTCATACAGGCCCCTCTTGCCTAGCATTGCACCAAAAACATTCTGCAGAATAGACTTGAACTAAATATTATCGATTTGGCCCTTGTGAACACTTGAAACTTGTTACTATGCCTGGCTTGGTAGGGAATTTTCTACAGATTTTGTCTTTTTTCGAATCAATATATCCAAATGTACAAAAAGAAGGTGTACAAAATGGAATGAGTAAATTTTCCATAATTAAAGAAAAACCAATTAAATTGCTTAGTAAAGCAAAATGTATGCTCTATAAGAGCTGTTGAAATGATAATTTTATGACGTGTGTTTTGTCATACGCATTAAAAAAAATGAATTTATTGTTTTATTTTCTTTCAGAACATCGCAAGTTCATTTGACTCCTCACCAATTGACGTGAAGCAGAAACATTTAGAAGATTTCTTCATGACAGACGCCATCAGTAGAGCATCACCAACTATGGCCAAATGTGTCCAAGCTGTGTTGAAGCAGAAGCAATCTAAATATTATGAAGGAGAAGTTTAAAGGAGACAAAAAGCGATTAGCTCGTGATAATTAGCCTATCAGGCAAGTTTTAGCATCTCCTTAAATGAATCATGCACTGAAAAATCAATCTGATAAAAAATTACTCAATGTTATAAGAGCCTAGAACTATATTTATTTATCTTAGTCTTATTCCATCTCATAACCTGCAGTGGAGACCGTATGTACTTTTATTGACACTTGTTTTTATGCTGAATTTTAAGTTTGAATCATTGAAGTAGCAAATGGAAGGTCGTAATTTTAGTGATATTTGAAGGTATGTATCTCCACGTCCTCCTAAAAAAATGCTGAAGTGAGGCTCAATTTTTTAATGTTTTGCATATTTCACATATTTTCTCATGGTTTTCTGATTCTCATTATAGTTGCGAACAAAATTCGGAATGTCTCTTTCAAATCTAGAAAAAGTCCAATAAAGCAGGAAAAAAAGAAACTGCTTTTGATAAGATCTTTTTAATTTTTAAAGTAAGACAAAAAACCTATGTCAAAAATTTTTTTGCAAATAACCACATCCAAGATTTTATGCCCATGATCTGTGAAAACTTTTTAATGCAAGTCATACAGCTGTCAGTAGCCAGTGATCCTCTCTTGACCCATAACATTTATCCTTGGTATGTTTTATCAACCTACAACAAAGGACATTTTTTAAAGCTATGTAATTTTCTGAAAAGTTTACCTTTATATTTGAAGGAATGCAGTTTTTCTGAGCTTACATATAGGAATTTTCCCTCTTATAAATTAATTCACAGCTAGTTAATTGATTCGCCATCACTACCGTCTATTCTCCAGCAAAGCTGCTGTCGGACTCCATCATTAATCGAGTCTGCTCTGAAGTATAGGACTGCTTATCATTTTGTAATCACCAGAAGTAGATAGAACTTCTGTGCATTGTTCCTTTCCTGCAAGGCTTCCTGTTTGTAAATTGAATTGTTATTGTAAATATTTGAATACATTGTTTACGTAATCTTAACCAGCTGAGTCTCTTGTTTTCTCAAAATTCCTCCCCCCCCCTCCCAATTTGCCCCTTGCTAATGGGCGTTTTTTTCTCTTAGCCACAGACATTAGGTTTAAGCACTTTAAAGTGTCCTAAAAGATTAATCATGCGGAGTGAAAAATGTATAAAAATCCTCAGACCTATGCATGGAGGATTCCTCCTCTCTCTCGAAGATTTATTCAATAGAGTAAACTTCAGAAAGAGCCAAACCGAGAAACCGAGTGTCATGGACATTACAAGTTGTGAAACTGCAATTTGAGAAACTATTTTAAAATTCAATTTTCTCATCTAACAGAAATCCCAATGAAACTCCAGGTGCATTTGTGGGTTTAATATAATGTGAAGTTGGTACAATTGATGTCCAGTAAAACGTTTTCATGACAATTTTAAAAGTTATTTCTGCTTTTTGTCATTACTTCATCCGTTACAAGCAAAAACATTATTTTCACTGAAGTATTTGATTGTTTTCAATCGAAAATAATAATTTATGATTTAATTATATTTACAACCTTTGGAGGTAACGGTTGCAACCATATGTCGTGCCTAAGAAAGTCATAGCGCCTGCAATTTTTTGAATGCAACATGGATATCCTGAGAACACGAATAATTGCATCCAGACGTAGCCATTGAAAAAGCCGTAGCGCCTTCAGTTGAATCTTGTCGTGCGAAAACCGCTAATGTCCATTTTTTCAATCTTTGAGTTGATAATACTTTTTAAAATTACATGCATCTATGAAAGAGGTGTTACTTAATACTCGATTTGGGGGTTATCTTAACTCCAAAACGGGTATTTACATCACTTTCGTGATCGTATCAACTCATGAAAAGTACAGGTATTATCAGCATAAAAAAACTGAAAGCTGAAAAAATGGAAATTAGCGGTTTTAGCACAACATTACGCAGAGGCAGTGGCTCCTTGAACAGCCCGGAAAATCACCAACAGACCAGCCCATCGGGGTGCCGCAGTAGAAACCCCCCTCCCCCTTATTTTTCGATACTAGCCACGGGCGTACCTGAATCTTTTAGCAAAAATTGCCGAAGTCAGGTAAGATTACCAGCGTTCTTTTTTTGTGAATATGATACCAAGAATATATCTCCCTGGAAATTTTGCCACATTTGCGATAAGAAAACATGTCCCACTTTCTCTCCTTGGGAGTTAGCTAAGTTCGACGTTCTCAGAAACGATAGAACGTAACAGCATTTCAACTTGAAACATTTGCCCTGGTAAATTATACATGTATTTACACCGAAAAACATACAGGATTGCAAAATCTCTAAATCCTGTGATCCTAGAATTGCAAGTTCGCGGTGTGCACTGTTCAGAAATGGTTTTCACTTAGGTTCGACACCAAAAGATTACGACTTTTCAACGACTTGAGCGCGCCCCGTGGTATACACGCAATGTTCGAAGTATCCTGCAGACTTGTAAGGCGCTACCATGTTCCGTACGCGCACTGCATGGAGTATCCTGCGGCCTTGTAAGGCGCTGTGCGTTACGCACCGTGCGCGCTGGCCGCACCGCGTTTGACGCGATTTATTCAAACTTTGCCGCATCAGCGGTTTTCGACTCATGATTTTGAAGTTTTTGTACAGTTCGTTGAAATTATTGTCTTCTCAAATGACAAAACATATTACATATAACCCAACTAATTTTCTTCTCTTCATTTATATATTTTTATAAATAATATTAAGTAGAAGCATGCAAGTGAAACGACTTTTACGTGTAGGCTCCTTCATTGCTCAGCAATTTAATGGCGTGATCATTCGGACTACATGTTTGCTATTCGGAACTACAATGTTTGGCTCATCTATAAAAACACTTGTGAGCGTAAGAAAACTAACGGTACATCCGTTGTTTATAAACGAAGCCAAAAATTGTGCTTCCTAATGGCAAAATGAAATTTTTTTTGATGAATGAACCCTTTTGAAGCGGAGGGTATGGATTCTATTGACATGAATCGATCGATAAGGATCATAGAGAGAAAAAAAGGAGGTGTTTGCATCTTGAGCATTGTGCACTCCGTGACGTAGGTCGGTACAACCTGGTCAGCAAAATCCGGAATTCGAAATATGATAAACGGACCATAACGTCCGATTTTTTTGCTTAAATGAACTGATTTTCAAACACTTCATGTAGTAAGCATTTTGTCCTTAAACAACACCATTTCCAAGAAAATCGATGATTGAAGTCGCCGTGCCGACCCACGTCAGCAAAACAATTCCAAGATGCCCGAAATGCAAACACCTCCTTTTTTTCTCTTTGGATAAGGATAAAGCGAAAAACATTACTGTAGTGGCTACAATACTAAAACTGTGTCATTTTTATTAATTCCAACCAATGCGCGAGACTTTCACAATACCTATAGTCGTCACCTCTGAAATTACCACGCCTAAATGTAGGTATAGCTATTGAAAACAGCTCGGTAAATTCAATTAAGTTTTCACGCGGGAAATACAAACATCCATGACGAAAAGACCGCGGAAAGTTCTAGACTAAATTCAAAGAGGGTTCCCATGTTTGGAAAGAAGAATATTCAACCCAATCATAACAAACCACCAAAACACTGTTGCCAACCATCGATGAAAAACCCTACAGATAACATGAATACCTCTCAATGTCTCAATGTGATATGCTCCCTCGCCTATTATGCTAATGCGCTCGCCTCAAATCATTTTTTTTATTTTTCATGTTTTTCTTTTCTCAGCGATGTTGGCCAGGCTCGAAAATTCTTGGGATGCTGACACGTTCAAAGTCCTAAGTCTAACCAAAAGTCCTTCTTTATGTGGATTTTCCAGGTTTTCAGGAGCTCCCACAGGAGTCGAACCGGGGTTCCCTCAACCATCCGTCAGAATTTCTGGTGTGATCAAGTGTCCTAGCACCCCTCTAGCCAGACTGCCTCTATTTCACAGTTCTAAGAGGGGGAAAAGCAGGGAAAAGGAGTCAGGTATAGTCAAAAGAGACTCTTTACTTTCCTCATCTCATATCTGAGCCATAATCGGTGGTCGGTGAAATAAACATACAGGGTGATCCAGGGTTAAACGGCCAGAATGCGCAGGAGCCGAAACACCCCCAAACCCCCTCTTTAAATCGAAATTTAGATTATTTTTTTTCTTTAGATCATTTATGAATTCAGTGCATAAACGTACAGGAGAGTGCAAATTTTCGTGAGATTTAGTTCACAAACGTCGTCAAAATTCAGGAGAGACTTTCTTTTTTTTGGGGGGGGGGGGGGCGTAACTCCGACTGAAGGCACCTATGGAAAAAAACTTTATAAAACAAAAAAGTCTTATTTTTACCCACAGAACAAGCTCCTGCAGTCTTGCCGTTGATCACCCTGTATAGGAAGCAACTTTTAAAATTTTGGGTTTTAACTTGCACAGAATAATTAATGTGTTAATTTGGCAACATGACGGGTGGAAGGCGGAGGCGGGCTGTTTGAATAATGCTCTGAAAATAACTGCGCCGTCACACGTGAGCGCCGGGCTGGGCGCGGGTGCAGCCCATGGCTGTATTGAGAATATACAGCGATAATTCTAGTAGATCCACCAGGTATAGTGGGCGTAGAGTTTGAACGGTTAGATTCTATAAATATACTTACTCTTGTTTTCCCCGGAACTATTTTATCCTCGCGACTTTCGGTGGTGTTCCCAGTTCATTGATACTTGATCTTGAGAGTGCAGCATAGGTGTGCTTCGTCTTTCTTCCCTCGCAGGTGAGCATCGGTATTCACCCTTCCTACTTTTATATTACGAGCAAGTTTCCCTTGAGTATTAACTATTAACTATTATTTTAACTATAGGTAGAGATTACAACCTTTTACCTTTTATACCAGGGTTAATTAAAAATAAAAAAGAATTTTAAAATCTCGAAATTTATCAACAGATAAAATTTTTAATGTTATTAACGTTTAAAAGTTAAAATGAATAAATTTGTAGATTTGACATGAATAGGGGAATTTCTCCTCCTTGGATTAAGCTTAGGGTGATTTTTTTATGTGCATGAAATGAGAAATTTTATTGTGAAGGATCTTTCCTCCTTTTTGCCCATGTCGAAAAGATTATGCGTGGAACTTCTTGTATCTAGGTACACACACCTGGAATTTGGAATTAGAATTTGGATTACTACAATTTAAAATTAGTTTTCGTTGACTAAAGTGGCATTTGCATACGTGGTCCTTTGCCTCGTGCTCTGCCTTATAATCTATAGGAATTTTAAAATTTTCATATAGCTCTGCTAGAAAATGTATCAATTTAGGAGATTAGAATGAGTTATAGACATGAAAAGTAATGAGTTTTTTCCAATGCAAAATTCAGATTTGACTTTGAGATGATATTTTTTGAATTAAATGATTTCGTGCCGGAAGACTGTTCATTCTGGAATGTTTGTATACACACGCTGCCAGTTGCCGGTAAATAAATTCCTAGAAGATCAATCCAATTTTTTTTCTTCGCGAGCAAAAAAGTGAATTTTATTCAGTCATTATCTTTTATAATTTACTATATCTTAAACTACCTATCCTGACAGCAGAAATTCCGGACTAGTATTGATGAATGGCACATTTATTCACAATGCACGCAGACAAGTTATGGGTATAAAACCTCTATTAATTACCTACAATTTTCTACCATCCATGAAATATAGACCTGCCCTAAATATCAATCTCTTTCCTCCATTGATGAGAAATAACATCACCAATTTTTCAATGATAAATAACTATTTATTCGAAACTTTTCTACTTTTGAAAACTCTGCTTTCTAGATTGACGATTTCAAATCATCTAAAATTGTATTATAACTATCAGGCGTCCTGACCAATGTTTTCTCTTTTTTTCCTTTTTTTTCAAAAGTCAACGTATGGTAAAGTACCAAAAATCCCACTTTAAATTGTGACAAAAATTTTAAAATGAGAATTTTATTGATCGTTCGAAAAATTAAATCTTCCTGCATGTTCATAAAATAGGTTGAGATTACCCACCCTCTTCTCTACAAAATTACTTTTCATGATCGGAAAGAACACCAAAAAGCACGCAGAATACTCACTGAATTCAATAAACATGTAATGATTACCTATACAGGGTGGGCCAGAAGTTCCAGGACGGTCGGCTAACTTTTTAACGGTTCAAGATAGAAAAATGAAACTTTGGGAATGTTCCTATCTCAAATGGGACCATCTTTTGGGGAAGTCAAAATTTTGGTCCCCCCTTAGGGAGGGGGCGGGAGGCCCCCAACTTTTTTTCTTCAAATGGCAACCCCTATCTTGTGATACCTCATTCGAAAGACCATAAAAAACTAAGAATTTTGGCGCAAACCGCAGATCAATATCTTAATTTTTGACCGAGTTATGATACTGTCAAAGGTCAAATTTGACCTATTTTCAAAAAATCACAACTCCGGTTCAAATTATCGTAAAGAAAAAAATAAAACGAGAAAATTTACTAAATTGTGTTTGCTTTTTTGTAAAAATTGCAGAAATCACTTCGGGACCCCCAAATACGTCAATTCAAAGGTCATTCAATTTTCCCGCGAAATAAGCCAATCTCCCCTAGATTTGCCTCCACATTATCTCAATAAGGTCAAAATCAGTTCAACATTACGTTGGGCAAGTCCCCAAATTTCAGGAAAAGTTAAAAAAACGCAATGTAAGGTAATTAAATTTGACCGTTTAAATTGGTTTTTTGTTTAACTTTTCCTGAAATTTGGGGACTTGCCCAACGTAATGCTGAACTGATTTTGACCTTATTGAGATAATGTAGAGGCAAATCTAGGGGAAATTGGCTTATTTCGCGGGAAAATTGAATGACCTTTGAATTGACGTATTTGGGGGTCCGAGCCCCCCTTAAAATTAGTTCGAAGTGATTTCTGCAATTTTTACAAAAAAGCGAACACAATATAGTAAATTTTCTCGTTTTATTTTTTTCTTTACGATAATTTGAACCGGAGTTGTGATTTTTTGAAAATAGGTCAAATTTGACCTTTGACAGTATCATAACTCGGTCAAAAATTAAGATATTGATCTGCGGTTTGCGCCAAAATTCTTAGTTTTTTATGGTCTTTCGAATGAGGTATCACAAGATAGGGGTTGCCATTTGAAAAAAGAAAGTTGGGGGCCTCCCGCCCCCTCCCTAAGGGGGGACCAAAATTTTGACTTCCCCAAAAGATGGTCCCATTTGAGATAGGAACATTCCCAAAGTTTCATTTTTCTATCTTGAACCGTTAAAAAGTTAGCCGACCGTCCTGGAACTTCTGGCCCACCCTGTATACATGTTCAAAATGCCTCAGGTTTATTTTCCGTCAACTTTTCTAGATCACGGCAATAAGTTCCAAAAAACGCATTAAGGTTGGAACGCTTTGATATGTCCGTTCATATATTAAATTTTTTTCATAACCGCACAGACTTTTAAAAGTATCTCTTAAACCATCAAGAAACCACATGGATAATTGGAAAAGCAAAGCAGTGTTCGGAATTAAGTTACTATAAGTCAATTTTCCGACAGAAAAAAAATAGATATTGGTGCAGATTTGAATTGGCACAGTGCCGAATACATACTGCTAATAAAATCCAGTTATTTACTAACATGACATTTCATGTGCTTCTCAGATAGATTCTTCACTCCTCTAATGTAAGGGTGTAACTCAATTATCCCGTGAGCCCTGAAGAGCGTGGAGTATGATGGACAGTGGGGATCGTTTCAATTTAGAGTTACGCCCTTACCTATGAAGCCTAGGAGCGACAAATCGACGAACGGCAAAACTCCCAAACCATTTACCCTATTTGCTACTTTTGAAAATCTCCAATTTTGCATTATTTTTTAAAAGAGGACAAATCAATATTATTCTTTGAAGTTTTCTCAGAATTTGCTTTGCATAGAGAAGAAAAATCACGAGACTTTTTAAGAATTGACGTTCAATAGCTCTACATTTAAACCATAAAGTATGACAGGAAGTCATCAACGTCGCACACCAAGATACGTGATTTGGGAGTTTCACCGTCGAAATGTTCGTTATGACAATACTAGGGTGGCAAAATTTCATGAAAAATAAAATCTTGAAATTTCTTTTGAAATGTTTCATGAAATTTTAGAAATTTATGAAAGATATTGAAAAACACCGGTTCCTTATCATGTTCGCAGAATGTATAAAAATTGTGACTTTCTTCTATTTTTATGTGTTTGAGTGCAGGTCCCTGGTAGAAATTGGCAGTAGAATCTGTGTTCCAAAATACCATAGACCTACAGCCGACTGTAAGATTTCCAATAGCTTCTATAGCCGGCAACACAATTTCTTATAGCCTTTTATAGCCGATGACGATTAAGCAACAGCCTGACGATAAAGTGTATGCTATCCGTTACTAATTACGGATGCTAGGACTTAGCGAGTTTTTGGACTACCGCTCTCTTTTTGGGCCGTAGTATCTTGATTTATTTTGCGAGGAAAGCTCCGTACTTTTGAAGGCTGCTTGACATTCCTAATATGTTGGAGCGCGTTCAATTTTTTATGATACTGTGCAATATCTCTGGTGTGAAATAGTTGCTTCAAGTGCCGTGGTACGTTGCGGCGCAGCGCGGCGGGCGGGCAGCCGGCGCGAGACGCGCATTGGCGCCTACAAACCTAACAGGGATACTTCACGCACTGCGCAATGCGTGAAGTATCCTGCTGAATGAAGTATGCTGTTAGGTTTGTAGGCGCCAGTGCGCCGCCGCTCCGCTTTGTGTTAGGCTCTGATATTTAATCTCGTGGAGTCAGCGTTGTTCAACTCATGACTTTGAAATGTTTGCACACTCTGTATGGATTATTCTCATGTTAATCGATGAAAACAAATATGTAGTAAAGGAAAATATAATGTACGTTTTGTAAATATTATGGTGATTCCGTACAAACTTGCAGATTTACAAAGCACACGAATTTCTACACAATTTCTTATAGCCTTTTATAGCCGATGGCGAAAAAGCAACAGCCAGGCGATAAAGTGTAAAGCTCGGCGACAGGAACTATATCCCGGCTGTTTAATTGTTTATCGCTTCGTGTAGCCCGGCCGTATGATTTTTTCCACTTTCTACATCCAGCCATATGATTTTCTATCCCCTTCTTCAGTCGGCTATAAGAACTCCTATGGTATTTTGAAACGCAGCTCCTATCGCCATTTACCAGGGGTTGCATACTCCAGCCCCTGAAAAATATGAAATATTTCACAGGGTCGTGAAATTTCCAATCTTTCATTTCTTTAATAAGTTTCATGCCACCCTGGACAATACCTACAGCAAAGTTTACGAAAATTATCTTTACGCATAATATGATCATTTGCTTACAGAGTAAATTTTCAAAAGATGTCTCTCGCTCCATACGTATTCCGTGACTGGTGGGACGACCTGGAATTCGGAAGACCATCAAGGCTCATCGACCAACATTTCGGCTTAGGTTTGAGGAAGGATGACTTATTCGCCGACTGGCCAAGTTTGGTGAGGCCCTCCGGTGCCGGTTACTTGCGCCCCTTCAGAAATCTACTTAGGCAGACCAGTGGATCCTCAAACATAACCGCCGACGACAAAAGTGTACAGGTATGATTTCCAAATAACCATCTCCATTTCCATCTCCATCTTTTTTTTCTCCTTCTCCTTCTCCTTCTCCCTTGGTATTCAATTTTTTCCGGTCCTGAAGTTCTTTTTGCTAATTAAGAGGAAACAAGAATTGGGCTTACCTTTTTGATATATGAATCACTATTTCTGTTCTATTTTAGAAACAATACATTATGTGGCATTAGTTTTCCAATGCAGATAGGAGCTTTTATAGATAAGCCGGGAATATTGATCTCTCGTCGCAAAGTTGGCCCAGCAAAACGGCGCATAGAGGTTACGCGTGCTGCTATTTTGCCTTCAATTTTTTAAGTAGGCAAGAGAGTTTTCTCTGTGCTGCAATAGTTGCTTGCTCAAGGATTTTTGTCTCGTGCTGTCGACAAATCCTGACCGCAGTTAGTGAATTATGCTAAACTTCGCCCCTAACAGTTTAAGGCTGGGTTTGCTCTTTGTTTCAATTTCTACGAATAATGATATAGATGTATAGTATAAAGAAAAATTCATTTTTGATATTGGGAAAAATCAAATCTTTGGGTCATTCGTATGCATCATCTCATGACCAAATTGTGAAACCGCGTAACTCCTTTTGCGACGTTGCAGACCTCCTATCAAACTTTGTTCCTTTTTGAAAAACTAGTCAACGTAATTTCTTGAAAACATCCATTATATTTCTCTGTTCGCAAAATATTCTGCAAAAATTTCAAGCCACGGTGGTTTGTTTCTCTTCAAAAAAATAAAATAGGAGCGGAAATTTTGAATCATCGCAATGGAGATACGTGGTTCTGCACTTTGGCTATCGATCTGGATCTAGTCAATTAGTTATATAATTTTGTCATAAAACCAAACCTCTACCACATAGGGACGTTTGGGGGGGGGGGCACCTTTTTTGGCTGAAATGACGCTCTCATAAATACACGTTGACGGTAATCTTGCGGTCGATTTAGACAGCGTTTAGCAGAAAGGAGCCAAGCCACATCAGCTGTTGCCGAATTTAACCGGACAAATCCAATATTTTACAAGAGAACTTAGGTGCGGATTCTTGTGAAAATTTTAAGGAATTTGCTGCGTACCATGCGGAAATTTCGCTGAAATTTGCACAAAAATCTCCATAACTGTTTTTATGTAACAAAAAAAAAAAAAAAATTAGATTGCATTGCCCAACTGAATTTGACAAGAGCTGATGTGGCTTGGCTCCTCTCTGCTTAACGCGGTGGATTTGATAGATTTCAATTAATTTTTGCAGGTAATCTTAGACGTGCAGCAATTTTCTCCTACCGAAATAGTGGTGGGTCATTTTTTTTGGGGGGGGGGAGGGCCTTTTTAGCTGAAATGACGCTCTCATTAGTACACTTTGACGGTAATCTTGCGGTGGATTTGATAGATTTCAATTAATTTTTGCAGGTAATCTTAGATGTGCAGCAATTTTCTCCTAACGAAATAGTAGTGGGTCATTTTTTTTTAAGGGGGGGGGGGCTTTTTAGCTGAAATGACGCTCTCAATAGTACACTTTGACGGTAATCTTGCGGTGGATTTGATAGATTTGAATGAATTTTTGCAGGTAATCTTTGATGTGCAGCAATTTTCTCCTACCGAAATAGTAGTGGGTCATTTTTTTTAAGGGGGGGGGGGGCTTTTTAGCTGAAATGACGCTCTCAATAGTACACTTTGACGGTAATCTTGCGGTGGATTTGATAGATTTGAATGAATTTTTGCAGGTGATCTTAGATGTGCAACAATTTGCTCCCAACGAAATAGTGGTGAAAACCTCGAACGGAGCGATCGTTGTGGAAGGGAAGCACGAAGAAAAGCAGGACGAGCACGGGTTCGTGTCGCGGCAGTTCACGCGACGCTACGTCCTCCCCAAGGACGTCGAGATCGAGAACATCACGTCCAGCCTCTCGTCCGACGGAGTCCTCACCATCTCCGTCCCAAAAAAGGTAAACGCCTCGCCCACCCACGCTTAACCCTGCGCCGCGCACTTCCTCGACATGCTAGTTACATCATAGTGAGCAATAAAAAACATCCGAATCTTGTCCGAACATCTACAGCGCACGCGTAGAAAATCGTATCCTAGGCCCGGTCCTGGAGCCCTTGTCAAAATTTGACATGCATAGAGAAAGAAAAGGAGGTGTTTGCATTTCGGGCATCTTGGATTTGTTTGATGACGTAGGTCGTTACGAACGACTTTTATCATCCACTGGAAAAAAAAAAAAAATACATTGGATCTAGATTCCAGACTCTTGAAAACATTGACAAGAAAAAATACTCTTGATTCAATCGGATTTTTGCTTGAATCAAAACGAAATCCGCTTAAATTAAGAGGCTTGGTTCTTGATTTAAGCTAGATTCTGATTGAATCAACGGTATTTTCTCTTGTCGATGTTTTTAAGAGTCTGGACTCTAGATCCAATGTGTTTTTTTTTTCCAGTGTCGATTGTCGTGAAAATGGTGTAGTTTATTGAAAAAAATCATTCTGTATAAAGTGGTTGAAATAACACCGTGAGTTGATTTAAGCAAAAAAAAATCAGACGTTAAGGTCCGTTTTTTATACTTCGAATTCCAGATTTGGCTGGCCATGCTGTACCGACTTACGTCACGAGGTAAACAATCCGCAAGATGTAAACACCTTCTTTTTTCCGTCTATGTCATGTGTAAATCCGAATCTTGTCCAAAAATCTACAGCGCACACGTAGAAAATCGTATACCAGGTCCGGTCCTATTGTCTCTACCAAAATTTGATTTGTGCACGGAGAAAAAAGAAAGGGTGGCTCTTGCAATGCTCATATCGATGGTCAAAGTGCGGAACCACGTATCACCATCGCAATTTTTCAAAATTTCCGCTCCTATTTTATTTCTTAGAAGAGAAACAAGCCAAATTCATGGCTTGGAATTTATACAGAACATTCTACCAACAGAGCAAGAAAATCAAGGAAGTTTTCGATGATTTACACTAACCTGTTTCCCCAGGAAAAAATAAAGTTCGCCTAGAACTCTGCGACGTTGTAAATGGAGATACATGATTCCGCACGGTGACCATCAATATTTGTTGCCTGGTCCTGCCTACTTTTCTATCCATATTTTTTTTTCTTCTGCTTCTTATCTGAGACAATTTTTTTATAACAAAATCCAGACGACAAAATGTCTCCCCCCCTCCCCCGCCGCAAAGTGCAAAGGTTTTCTTTGTTCATTGGCAGAGGCGACAACTTTTGCCTTCATTTCATGAGGTATGCAACGTGAGCTGGCCTGTATGTTGAAACTTGAAATGAAACTAAGGGTATCCAGGCTTCAACGACGCCTGCGGCCTAAATTTGCTATACATTGGACTCTATTATCCGGATTAATTTGTGCCGGGCCCGTTCCGGATAAAAAAAAATCCGGATAATAATAGTGAACACAAACACCACCAACCAGCACTACAGTATTCTTATTATGTATACATCATGTACATACCAACACGAATTTAAAAGGTTAACGCCAAATTGAACAACTCAATGGTGATTGTGAATGGTAGCCGACAACGATAAATTACAATATAACGATTAAAGTGCGCAATGCGTGAAGTATTCATTTAGTCTTGTAGCCGCTAATGTGCGTTTTAGGCTAACTAACCGACTGCACTGCGTTTGGCGTAATGCGAGAAGTATTTATGCAGTCTGGTAGGCGCTAATGCGTTCCACGCCGACCTCACTGTTTGGCGCAATGCGTGAAGTATTCCTTCAGCCTTGCAGGCGCCAATATGCCTTGCGACCGCTTCTCCGCGGATCCGCTCTCTTGTCGGAATGCGTACGTAGTTACATGGTTGCAAAATCGATCCCGATAATCCAGAGTCTACTGTAATTCGCTTAGCACATAACACTAAACTCAATATATTTAATTAATTGAAAATGCTCCCTGACATTTTTATTTATTTTCATTATTTTAGATAAGCAACCGTTGAGCTTTCCGCGAATTAGAATCTGTGCGTTTCACTATTATGTTACATTTCTGTTGTGCGATTAAATATTCTACCAAGTGGCTAATGTAATGAATAACACAATCCTAATACATCCTCGTGACTTCATGATAATTTTGCAGGTATTGAGGTAGCTGTCGGAAAGTTATGTTTCACAGTTTTTAGAGAACGCTGAAACGCAGTCAGATTTATTTTGGGCACATGGCAAAATCTTTATTTTTAGCATTGAAACATAGAAAGCGCCGTTAAAACCATGCATTAAATTATCTAATTTGTTCACTTGGCGGCGCAATTAGACACCGTGCAATTTTCAGATGTTTCCTAGGCCTCTCGTCGGAAAGCATACATTGTGGAGCTCAGAATAAAATTAGATACAAGCCACACGAATTTTCATCTCTGAGAGAAATGATCGCCGCCGTACAGTGGATCGAGTCAATTAGAGAGGTCAGACATGAAATTTTTTACTAAAACTGCAAATTTTGACGTTTATTTCGTCACATTTTAGACTTTAAGGAGTGATACGAGAGGAAAATCTCACGAGAAAACCATCGGAACCACTTTTAGTACCTCAAAGTTTTGTAAAAACAGAGTTATAAGCGTTTAAAGTTTCCAAATTTTGTCCAACCTCTCCTATTGACTCGATCCGTTGTGCGCCATACCTACGTCAAGAATTGCTTCGACAAAATGTCATATTTTGACGGTGGCGCTAGGACAAATTTTAAAGATCCTCTAGGAATTTGTTTTGCTCAAAAGTACATAATATTTAAACTCCCATGAGAGCTCTATCAACCTCTCGTGTGTTTCCTCTTCCTTCAAAATATTTAATGTTTTTGCTCATCATTAAATAATATGTCTCAAAAATACGAATATATTAACATGAGTCTGCATTGCTTGAACACGAAGGTTATATTGATGTCGGTGCATCGACTCCCGATTTTATTGATCTTGTTTTTTCCGCATAGCGACATGATGTAGTCTCAAAATAGACTGTGTCTCAATCATAACTATCCATCATTATTTCTGTCACTCTCATAGTTATAACGTCAGAGAACCGTTTATAAGTGAGAAAAATTTCTCCCGATTTTCGAGGAAGTTGAAACACGTCGCCGAGAAAAACACTTCATTCAAGCTTGCACCACTTCGTTTTGGCACCAGGACAAAATTTCTTTTATATATATACTTCAATCGCTGACGAATGACAGTGCGCCTAAAAATAACCTGTGGAATATAACCACAATATATGTTTTTCTCCCTTCAAATTTTGTCCGTTTTCTTTTCCTGCTTTACTTCCGCGCAGCAATGGGCGTGACCATAAATTTGACAAATATGTCTTCTAAAAAAAATTCAATAAAATAAAAAAAAATTTCATTTCATGCTGCTGGAGTATTATATACACAGGAAGTTGAAAGTTCGAAGATTCAAAAATTGAGAAGGTGAAGTGAAAGTTAGAGGGGCTTAATTGCATACATTTCAGCACCTCTTACCATCGATTGATTTATTGATTGATTGATTAATTAGTTGATGAATTTAAATACGAACTATATATGTACACCAGAAGGGGGGGGGGGTCATTAAGGATGTTGGTATCTGATATACTTACAGTTTGTTGGTAGAGGCAATAAATAAAATACGCAGCATATTTTTACCTTTTCAAAATTTCTTTCAAAAGCCAGGACTAAAAAATCATGTCGTTCAACGTTCCAATATCCTTCGTCAAGATCGAACTTCCGACTTTTATTACAGACATAGATAAACAGATAATAAAAATTTATGATTCCGGCCAGGATCGAACTGGCGACCTTCTGCGTGTAAAGCAGATGTGATAACCACTACACCACGGAACCCCTGAAATATGTCGGGAAAATTGTATTTTTGATGGGCAAGTTTAACATGTATTTATTACTTTGAGGCTTATATATACAAATCTATCCAGAGTTGTCAGTGTCATTTTCCTTTAAAATGCAATATAAATACGTTTCATACAGGGTGTCCATTAAGTCTCCCACCCCCTTACCCTTAGAATTGTCGAAGATAGAAAACTGCGGGAATGCTTCTATCTTACAGGGAATACTCTGGAGGGAGGGGGGGGGTCAATATTTTTTAGCTCCATCTTGGGAGGGGGGAGGGCGAATTTTCTTTTTAGATGGCAACTCTTGATTAGAATATTAGATACCATTGGAAAGATTGTAAAAAGGAAACTTTATGACATAGATTTTTGTAGGTCTGTGGCTATCTCCACTTCGAATCAGCATTCGGAAATATAGTTTTGTAAATTTCGACTTCATTCGGCCACCATTTTGAATTGGCGATTGAAAATGACAGCAAGTTTTTCCACAATAAATAAAAATCACGAAGATACAGCAGCAACGTTGCAGTAACATAGTGAACTTACTGATTTGAATAATTACATATCATTATCACAGGAATATTCAGATTTTCAAAGTTTATGTTTGTTTTTGGTTACAGAATCCAGCTATCCCTGGAGGTGAGAAAGTGGTTCCTATCATACAAACTCATGCTCCTGCTCTGAAACCAGCACCACAACCCTCCTCTTCTCCGGCAAGTTCACCAAATGTGACAGAAATTAAGGTTCAGCACCAGTAAACGTCTCTTTCAAAACTGTCACATGGAGCCGAATAATGTAACATCACCCAATGCATGCAACGTATCCATAGCTGTGCGCATATGTAAAACTGCTCGATGCAAAAACTTTTTCAACTTTTTCTCGAATCCGTGACGGTTAAATTTTTCTTTTTGATAATATATTTATTTTTTTAATTCATTGTAAATATATATACAACATTCATGTTTTTTTGAGTTTTTGATTAATAATTTAAATAAAATTGTTGCAATACTTTTTTAAAACGCGGTGTTTATTCATTAGTGCACCTTTGATTACTTTCTCTCCCTCTCTCTCTCTCTTACAAATGTACTTGCTGCACTATACGACTGGTGAAACCGCAGCCATGCTTCGTATTTTAGAGAACTTCAGCTCTTTGTCATGGAAAAATTGACTGCCTCTAGTGAATAAATCTACAACGAGCAATTCCAAGCCACTTTTGTGGTTTTAATGAAAAATTAACTCCACTCCCAAAATCTTGCGAATCTAAATGTCACTATTGCGAGAGCAATATTTACTAAGCTATACGTAGCGCCTTCAATCGAAGGTGATACTCTGCGATACACCCATGCTAGAATAGTTGCGCCACATTAAACATCATTAAAACAAATAATTTTGACTCATCTAGACTCATCACATTACTTCTTGAGGTAATTCCCCTTTTTGGCGTACCGCAAAATATTTGAGCATGTAAAGATCAAAATATCTCGTGCAATGTCAGAATTTAGCGTTCAGCCTCAGTTTCACGGGTAACGGGTTACGAGATTAATTTTTTTGTTTTTCAAGTCCTAAAACCTCATAATTTTTTTTGGTCTGTATTTTATTTTCAAAGTGATTCTCTCGACATATTTCATCGCGGATGTTCATATCGTCCACTGGTAAAAAAAAAACCTCATGGACCAATGCCGCGGTGCATTGACTTAAGAGTGCAGTTTCTTGTCGCCAGATTTAAGAGTCTTGAACTCTTGTTTCACACGGATTTTGCATTGATTCAATTCAAAATCCGCTTGAAACAAGAGTCCAGACTCTTAAATCCGGCGACAAGAAACTGCACTCTTGAACTAAGAGGTTTTTTTTACCAGTGTCCACCTTCTGGCCAAAGTATCATAAGCGCTATGCGACGTTTAAAAATTTCCGCCGCCATTTTATTTTTTTACAGAGAAATTCTTCAAAGAAGCTGTCCAAAAATTTCACTGGAGTTTCTTCGTGCCGATAAAATTCAGTGAAGTTTTCAAACAGATTCAACCGACAATTTCTCTGTAAAAAAATAAAATGGTGGTGGAAATGTTTAAACGTCGCATGGCGCTCGTGATACTTTGGCTGAAAGGTGACGATAACATGGATCTTTTACCTTTTTTTCCGCTGTATGAAAAGTGTGACCATAAAAATAAATAATAATCTCAATTTTTTGTGTTTCTTAACGATGAAGTTTTTCACTCCATCCGATGGAGGAGCTTGAGGAAGCATAAATGAAATCGGATTATCCGACGAAAGAGCAGGAAAAGAGCAGGGTTCGGGAGGAGTAGGGATGAAGGTGGAGTTGAAAGGCTGATGGTATNGGGGGGGGGGGGGGAGTGTCATGGATAATCCGTAAGACGTACGGCAAAAGGTGCTGAAACGTGCTTGATAAGTGATAGTGCCTGAAATTCCATCAAAAGTTTAATTGGCTCAGCATTTCTCTTTCTGCTCGGCAAGCGAGGAACGCTGCGATTGGCTCGTTGTTGAGCTGAACAGCTTAAGCCTCCCCCCCCCCCCCCCGGCCTCTCTGCCTATAGCCTCGAGTTTCAGCTATGGTAGCTTTAAGTTGACGATTGTTGCCAGTTTACTGAAATATGAATTAGCTTGTACTCTAGTTAACTGTTAAAAATGCCTTGCATTCCTAGATTCGAGCTTGAAGCATTTCTTACAATAATTTACTTAGTTTATGAATATTCTCTTACACTTTTAAAGCGGAGAGGATGAATCGAACACCATCACTAATTTATAATTTTTTAGAATTAATTTTTAATCATTCTTGGTAAATTGCTTCTTTTCCCGAGAGGAATTTTTCGATGATAGGAAATTCTATGATAGGATGATGGGAATCACTAATTTTTAATTTTTTAGAATGAATTTTTAATCATCCTCGGTGAATGGCTAATTTTCCCGAGAGGAATTTTTCGAAAATACGAAATTCTCGTAAGATTGGCTAAAAGCGATAAAAGCTCGAAAAAATAATTGCTTTCTCGCAGTCTTAGCCTACAAAGCAGGTATTCATAACTACAGCGTTAACCTACCTGGTTCTTCCCTGTTTATAGCATCATTTTTCGGCAAATAATTTCCGAGTATAAATTGCATTTTGCTTAAAATTATAAGAACTTCAGAATACGAGGACTACAGAATATCATACCTCCGCCAATTTCCACATTTTAGTGTTGCAATAAATTGCGATTTCACGGGAAAATTATTGCGTATTGTCAGCGCTGAGTGTTGTGCATACTGCCTATCTGCTAATTGAAGGAGTTCATCCGATTGAAATTTATTGCAATATGAGTGAATGAAAATCTAAAATTCAGACACTCAATTTCAACGTGAATGTCTGGCAGTCTCGCTGCCATGACCAGGCAAATTAATTTAACATTAATTTGCATTAATGTAACATTAATTTGCATTAATGTAACATTAATTTTTAGCGTTTGTTTTTTCATATTTTTAATTCTTTCTTTTTCGACGGTTAATAATGACCGGGAGACCGGTCGAAACGTCTCGTGTTCTGTAAATTATTGTGTTTTAAGGTGATTCGATGGACGCCATATTTTGTGTCAGAACGGCATGCGATATATCGCATCAATTGGTTCCATTTTTTCAGCTACTCGTCATTTTTCTCCAATTTTGAGATCGCAATTCTGTTGTCAGGAGACTAAAGCACTCACTTACGAATTTTAACAAAGAAATTCAACGTAATAAAGGCGTGATTTTTTCAGAGAGAAAACATCGCATTCGATACTGATATCGAAACTGCACTCGAATGCGATATTTTCTCTCTAAAAAAACCACGACTTCATTACGTTGAATTTCTTTGTTAAAATTCGTAAGTGAGTGCTTTAGTCTCCTGACAACAGAATTGCGATCTCAAAATTGGAGAAAAATGACGAGTAGCTGAAAAAATGGAACCAATTGATGCGATATATCGCATGCCGTTCTGACACAAAATATGGCGTCCATCGAATCACCTTAAGCCTCGCCCTCGCCTTTTCCCGTCCTATTTCATGTCTAGAATTCTGGATCCGCCTGTGCCTGTGGATCAATTTTCAAATTCTAAAGGTCACTTTCCCTAGAATCGATTAAAATTCGAGGAGATTATCACTGGCAAAGTTTCCTGCGTGAATCCCTGCGGACCTCAGGAAAGCGGGCGAGAAGCATCTCCTCCGCTTGAAATCCACTTACAAAAAGGCAACAAAGCCGCGGCGTTTAATCTCGCGAACGCAGCTAGCAACGCTTGATCCTCGTCGCTCGCAAGTCAAGTGCGCCTCTTTCCGTTCCCGTATCCCGTTTAGCGGAGTGTTAAGCGTTCCAAATCCTTCGGGAACGGAAACGCAATCGCGGAAGCGTGGTCATGAAAAGGACGCTGATGAGACGTGCGAGATGGAGGAGGAGGAGGGGGAAGAGTCCTTGGGGGCGGAGGCAAGCATCACAGCTTTCCCAGTTAGAAAAGCTCCCAACCCCTAGCGATGCTCTTTTCGTCCGCCCTCCCTCCGTGAAGTCGTCGCAGCGTCCATGCGATTACAGAGATACATTCTTCATCATGGCGACCAGAGCCGTTTCGTTCACTTCTTGGAACTGATTTGTGGAGGCACCTGTAAGTTACATGGATTGGATTTTGCAAAAAGGAACCACTAGCATTGCAATGATGCTAAGATTGTGCAACTTCATCTTTTGCAATAAAATTGCGGAAATCGTGAAAAACTATGAAATTTAGATGGTAATTTTTGTCTTAAATTTACAGTTTTTAGCGAGTAATATAAGAACTATGAATGGATGATCGGGTTTTTCCTCCAAGACAAAAGAAGTTGCACAATCTTAGCATCATTGCAATGCTAGTGGTTCCTTTTTGCAAAATGCAATCCACGTGTAAAAATGGGCTATTTGTTCCTCCCTCATAACGCATCGCCGGAACGATGAATTGGCCAGTTGCACTGGTAACAGAATTGTGTTTTGATACTTGATCCTTGTAGGTTAGCTTCTCTGTCCAAACAGCAACTTTCTACTTTGAATGAATACTAACTGCGGTATCGTCCTTTGAAAAGTCGGGGTTGTGACGTCATCCACCGCGCTATCAAGTAAAATTATAGCTCCGTAACTAGCATGTGGACGGGATTGTGTGCACGTATGGCTTACTCTTGGGTATCTGAACCAGATTCATGGGTTACTTCAATGATGAAAAATTCCATGCGGGGCAAGGAGGCCGACGGCCGGGCAGATTTTTTTTATCATAACTCAAAACGAGGAAAATGCCGTTACATCCGATTTTCTGTGTACTGCTTCTGATTCGACGTTAAGAAATTTACGGAAACTGAGTAATTCAACATTTGGATATGAATCGATACATATTTTCCATTAAACATTCTCTGAATCGGCTAGAGAGTTGGGGATAGGATAAGCAGCCGTGCGCGCCATCCAGTGCTGAAATTCTATACTACTCGCAGTCCTCGCAGATGACTCTCCCCTCCCCTCACCATTCCTCCGAAACAAATGCCGCGCCGGCTCCGTCGCCACTCGGTCTGGCGCGATGCGCTCTTTTGATTGTGCCGCGCCGCACCTAGACTCCCAAGCGCCAGGCGCTAACATTCCTTCGTTTCCTTCTCGCACGACCAGACCACCCACGGTGAATTCGCGGAACCATTACTTTATGTTTAAACGCTTCCTTCTATGCGAATATGAATATTGATGCATCAATCCCAAGTAATTTTTCACGAGGAATCCGAATCTGAGGTCAGATTTTGGATTAAACGATAATCTTTGCAGAACCATGATACTGGCACGTGGGAGGCCGTTTGAGTAATGCAAGAGACGCTTGCAGGGCCAATCACAAATACACAACGCTTAATATAGGATTTTTTGACCCCTCTCCCTCCTTGTAACGTTTTTCGACGAAGGTCATCTAAGACGGGGACCTCCCCTTCCCCCTCAACGTTACGTATTTTATGAACGGTCTCTAAATGAGAGGGGGCTCGGATTCTCTTTAAAACCCTCGCAATGAGGGTACGTGATTATACACGTAAAAACGTAAACAAATAAATATATATAAACTTATGATGCGCTGAGACATTTTGCCACCTGAGCTTTTTTCGCGCCTCAGTATACATATATTTAAGTCCGCAATTGCTTCCTTTTTTGCGTTTTTATGTCCTCGTTCCTCTACAGGATGCATACATTTATCTTGATATTTTTAGG